TTTCTGTGCATATGCTCCCTGTCATTGTTGATTAGCGTTCAGCGGCGCTCGGTGTGAAGAGCCGCTCTGGCTGATCCCGGCGCTGAGGGAGCAGGAGGCGCACTGCACAAATAACCTTCATCACAAATGTTCAGGGCTTTTCCATCTTTTAGCTTGAAAAAGTGTTGTGTGCCCCGAGGAAGACCCAGGACACGCTGGAGAGACTATGTCTCTCAGCTGGCCTGGGAACGCCTTGGGGTCCCCCCGGACGAGCTGGAGGAAGTGTGTGTGAGGGAAGTCTGGGCGTCTCTGCTTAGACTGCTGCCCCCGCGACCCGGCAACGGATGAAGCGGAAGGAAATGGATGGATGGATTTTTATTAATCATTGTGCAATTCAAAAGAAATAAAATAAATTAAATTAAATACTATTTGAAAAGTATTTATAAATCCTCCCTTTTTTATAAGTTCTTTCTCTTATAAGTCAAACATTGATAAAATTGGACCCTCCTTGGACCCTCCTTGGACCCTCCTTGGACTCTCCTTGGACTCTCCTTGGACTCTCCTTGGACCCTCCTTGGACTCTCCTTGGACCCTCCTTGGACCCTCCTTGGACTCTCCTTGGACCCTCCTTGGACCCTCCTTGGACCCTCCTTGGACCCTCCTTGGACCCTCCTTGGACCCTCCTTGGACTCTCCTTGGACTCGCCTTGGACCATGGATAATGAGTTAGAATCCGGTCTCCATCTTGTGTCAGTGAATCCTGTCCTGTCTCTAAACCGTCTGGTTCCTGTAGATGTGAAACTTGGAGAAAGCTTCTGTCTTTTTCTGGAGCAGTTTCTGTGTCGTTACTTTTCTCTGAAGCGTGAGTTTCTCTCTTTCTCTGAAGGAAACGTTTGCTTAACCTACTCTGCCCTACCCTACATCAGAACTGCCACCCCAGTCCCACAGCACCAGTCTCTCGCTGATCCTCTGCAGCTTCTCCGTCATCAACAGGATGGCCTTGGTCTTTCAGCGGGGGCTCAAACTCTATTTGTACTGAAAAAGTATTCAGAGTATTTTGTCTGATGTCACTTTGTGCAAATGCTCTAATGGTCTTGTGTTCATTCCTAAAGCTGGGGTTCCATTTATGACACTTTATGATGTCATCGACAGAGGATGCATCTCTGCGTCACCAGAGTTGGTCTTTTGGACAGAGAGATGTGTTTGTAGTGTTTCCTGATGATACTGACGTTGGATGGAGCTAAAAAAGAATAACTAAGGTTTTTTGCAGTGCATGTCTATTTAGTCTGAAAGTCTGTGAGATCGAGTCCTCTCCTCCGACTCCCTCCTCGCGCTCTGATGTCACGTGATGTCACGTGATGTCACGTGATGTCATGTGATGTCATGTGATTGCTCATGCATGTTTATGAGCTAATTGGAGCGGTTCACACTTAGCTGTTATTGCAGCTCATTTCATCTCCGCACAGAGTTAAATATAAATATAGTCTGCAGCTCAGAGGAAACAGATGTCCCGACCATGAGCTCCAGAGAAACATCACCCAGTGGTCTCCTCTGGTCTCCTCTGGTTTCCTCTGGTCTCCTCTGGTGTCCTCTGGTCTCCTCTGGTCTCCTCTGGTCTCCTCTGGTTTCCTCTGGTCTCCTCTGGTGTCCTCTGGTCTCCTCTGGTCTCCTCTGGTCTCCTCTGGTTTCCTCTGGTTTCCTCTGGTGTCCTCTGGTTTCCTCTGGTTTCCTCTGATCTCCTCTGGTCTCCTCTGGTCTCCTCTGGTGTCCTCTGGTGTCCTCTGGTCTCCTCTGGTGTCCTCTGGTGTCCTCTGGTCTCCTCTGGTCTCCTCTGGTCTCCTCTGGTCTCCTCTGGTGTCCTCTGGTGTCCTCTGGTCTCCTCTGGTCTCCTCTGGTTTCCTCTGGTTTCCTCTGGTGTCCTCTGGTCTCCTCTGGTTTCCTCTGGTCTCCTCTGGTCTCCTCTGGTGTCCTCTGGTGTCCTCTGGTCTCCTCTGGTCTCCTCTGGTGTCCTCTGGTGTCCTCTGGTGTCCTCTGGTCTCCTCTGGTCTCCTCTGGTTTCCTCTGGTCTCCTCTGGTCTCCTCTGGTGTCCTCTGGTCTCCTCTGGTCTCCTCTGGTCTCCTCTGGTGTCCTCTGGTCTCCTCTGGTCTCCTCTGGTCTCCTCTGGTCTCCTCTGGTCTCCTCTGGTGTCCTCTGGTGTCCTCTGGTCTCCTCTGGTCTCCTCTGGTGTCCTCTGGTCTCCTCTGGTCTCCTCTGGTGTCCTCTGGTCTCCTCTGGTCTCCTCTGGTGTCCTCTGGTGTCCTCTGGTCTCCTCTGGTCTCCTCTGGTGTCCTCTGGTGTCCTCTGGTGTCCTCTGGTCTCCTCTGGTCTCCTCTGGTGTCCTCTGGTCTCCTCTGGTCTCCTCTGGTCTCCTCTGGTCTCCTCTGGTGTCCTCTGGTGTCCTCTGGTCTCCTCTGGTCTCCTCTGGTGTCCTCTGGTCTCCTCTGGTCTCCTCTGGTCTCCTCTGGTCTCCTCTGGTCTCCTCTGGTCTCCTCTGGTCTCCTCTGGTGTCCTCTGGTCTCCTCTGGTGTCCTCTGGTCTCCTCTGGTCTCCTCTGGTCTCCTCTGGTCTCCTCTGGTGTCCTCTGGTGTCCTCTGGTCCGAACCTGAAGAGTGAAGGAAACCCTGCAGCCACACCTGCCCTTTAAGGAGTGTCTGTTTCCACTGACACTGACACAGATACTGATGGGAGCCAGTCTGGGCCCAAAGAGGCCAGTCCATAACTCTGATTCCTGAAATGATAGTTTGAAATCTCTTTGCTGTAATTACTCAGAAACCCTTTGTGCTATTCTTTCAGGGGTTAAAATATTTAAAGCTAAATGTTGATGATTTTCCTGAACTTGACTGCCCCGAGTCATTTAGATTCTTTCAGACTCTGATTTAGTGTTTTTCTTCTTCCTTTAACCATCTGTGACAGGTCCTTTTGACCCGAGGGAAGCACGACGCTAGGTTTAACCGTCGATGCTACACGCTAACTTCATCATCAGCATGTTGGGTTAGCGCAGTTAGCATGTTGCGTCTCTGTTCGCTAGCTCCAAAGTTCAGCGCCTTGCCCTTGTAGCTGAAAATGAAGCAGTGACACACGAGCTAACGCGCGACGACACGTGCTAACGAGGCTTAATTAACTACATAATTACCCATGAGTCTGCGGGGCTGACGTGGCTTCCACTTTCACTGACCAAAAAAACACACTTTAGGCTGTTTTCAGGACAAGAAGGTCACAGTTTCATAATGACTCGGGCCAATTCACGGCCAAATGACGTGAGCTTTAGTTGTTTATGGGCCGACCAAATATCCCTGTGTTATTGTTATTACAGTGCAGACATTTCATTGTTGCAATGAATAATACCTCTGTACTAAAATACCATAGAATAACATTAGCATAATTAGCATAACAAATAAGGACATGTGAAGTCCTGTATATTCTGTATGTTTACGTCTGTACATTCACCTCAGGCTCTGGGCTAAAGTCACACATGTGGCTCTGTATTGCACATTCTGTTATTGCACATTCTGTTATTGCACATTCTGTTATTGCACATTCTGTTATTGCACATTCTGTTATTGCACATTCTGTTATTGCACATTCTGTTATTGCACATTCTGTTATTGCACATTCTGTTATTGCACATTCTGTTATTGCACATTCTGTTATTGCACATTCTGTTATTGCACATTCTGATATTGCACATTCTGTTATTGCACATTCTGTTACTGCACATTCTGTTATTGTCCTGTGCTTTAGAGACAATACTTTTACTGCTGGGCGTTACTCAGATGCATTAGAGTAGGATTAGTGGAGCCCTGTCTCATAGTTTTAAACTGTTTCTAATCCCACGTCAGAACTTTAATGACATTCACTACAGACAACTTTCTTTAGACTCAGACTGTTTCATGTTGAGGGCAGCTAAAAACCTGCTTCTTTCCGATGTACAAATGCAGATTAAGGGGAAAAAACTAAAAAAAATCGTATTATTTAAAGATTTTAGAGCAAGGAGAACTTTGGAACAACTCAGTGGAAGAACATGTTCTGAGTTTGGTTGGAATGAAAACCTTTGAGACTTTGCTGATGCTGGGCTTGGTCAGGACTCACTGAGGGATTATACCTATGGGAACCGTAGCACCCGGAGGAAAGCCACTCAGATACAAAGAGAAACATAGACAGGTTCTGGGCCAGGACAGGGATGGAACCCACAACCTTCTCACTGTGAGGCACGTGAAGAAGAACAGATTATAAACTGCTACATGTTTATATGTTTTATATTTACTGCTTTATAATCCTCAAAGGACAGTTTTCCAACTGCATCGACCTCAGAACCATCTGTGAGACGAGAGGTTTGAACGGGACTCTGAGGAGCACAGGGACTGGACTCCTGCTGGGACTCTGAGGAGCACAGGGACTGGCCTCCTGCTGGGACTCTGAGGAGCACAGGGACTGGCCTCCTGCTGGGACTCTGAGGAGCACAGGGACTGGCCTCCTGCTGGGACTCTGAGGAGCACAGGGACTGGCCTCCTGCTGGGACTCTGAGGGGCACAGGGACTGGCCTCCTGCTGGGACTCTGAGGAGCACAGGGACTGGCCTCCTGCTGGGACTCTGAGGAGCACAGGGACTGGCCTCCTGCTGGGACCCTGAGGAGCACAGGGACTGGCCTCCTGCTGGGACTCTGAGGAGCACAGGGACTGGCCTCCTGCTGGGACCCTGAGGAGCACAGGGACTGGACTCCTGCTGGGACTCTGAGGAGCACAGGGACTGGCCTCCTGCTGGGACTCTGAGGAGCACAGGGACTGGACTCCTGCTGGGACTCTGAGGAGCACAGGGACTGGCCTCCTGCTGGGACTCTGAGGAGCACAGGGACTGGCCTCCTGCTGGGACTCTGAGGAGCACAGGGACTGGCCTCCTGCTGGGACTCTGAGGAGCACAGGGACTGTTCGCTCATTCCCTCTCCTGCCGTAGGTGCCGTTAATGGCCGCCGCTGTCTGGTTGCCATGGCGGCGAGCGTCCTTGATGCGAAGCGCCGCAGCTGTAAGAATGACACGGTGGTTTTCACTCCAAGACACGACAAGACTGAGCAAGATCTGTGGTGTGGACCTTTGGTAACGACCAGAACCAAACCAGAACCACACTAGAACCACACCAGAACCAAACCAGAACCACACCAGAACCAAACCAGAACCAAACCAGAACCACACCAGAACCAAACCAGAACCACACCAGAACCACACCAGAACCAAACCAGAACCAAACCAGACCCATGCCCTTGTCCAGAATCTCTTTAAAACATATTGTTTTGTTCCGTTGCAGAATGTGTCAGATTTAGATCTTAGAGAATTTATAAAATTATTAAATGTGTTTTTATGATGAACATTTTTTATTTTATTAATTTGTTTGGAGGATAAGGATCTACACACAACTACACACAACTACACACAAATACACACAACTACACACAACTACACAACTACACACAAATACACACAACTACACACAACTACACATCATTTTTATTTTTTATTATTTCTTTATTTAATTTAGGAAAATGCATAAAACAAACAGAAACGTGTTTTAAGGAATCCTCCAAATTGTTTGAATTACATTTATTTTTGTATAACCATAAATCACAGAGTTGACGATTCCCCGACAGCAGATCAGAGAATCAAACGGTTCAACACATTGGTCCAAAGTGAGCCGTCCAGAAACGTCCAAACATGTAAAACCCCTTTGGAATAAAAGTCCCCAGTGTGCAGCAGACGGAGCAGCGGCTCTACTCTGATCTCGGTTCATCACGGCCTGGTCCAGCCTGAGGCCGCCGGGAGAATACAGATTGAGCAGTAAATGGAAAGCCTCCCTCTTCAGCCCAAACGTCACTGCACTGGGCTTTTATGTCCACATGAGTCATCCTCTCGTCGCTCCGTGAGAAACCGTCTGTTTTTCTGTATCATAACTGTACAGCGTCGGCCTGACCTCGCTTCCTCGCTCCATCCTCTAACCATGAGTCACTTCCGTCTGCAAACTGTAAAAACACAAACACAAGCAGCTCTGTGGAGTTCTGTCGTTCTAAATATACGCCCGGTTATGTCGTGTTCCCGCCCCCACGCTGGCTTGCTAGCTCACTGGCTGGTTTGTTTGGCCCAGAGCGGCGCGCAGTGTGTGGGCGGGTCCCGCAGGTGTAAGTGTGGCCCGACCAGGCTAAAGGATTTCCCTTTCTGTTATTTCAGTACGGAGCAGCTGGTGGTGAAGATTCTGAAAGCTCTGGACCTGCCTGCCAAAGACGCCAACGGCTTCTCCGACCCCTACGTCAAGATCTACCTACTGCCAGACAGGAAGAAGAAGTACCAGACCAAGGTGAGGAGGCTGTTTTCAGATGTGTTTTAACAGTGTTCACTGATGAGGAGATCTGTTAAAGTGTTTAAACATTTTATTAAATAATTATTCACTTTTGTCTTTTTCTATGAGTTTCTGGTGATTAACATCTTAGGTTATTGTTACTCTCTCTCCGTGGGCGGCACGGTGGCTGAGTGGTTAGCACTCTCGCAAGAAGGTCCTGGGTTCAAATCCCAGTCAGAACAGGGCCTTTCTGAGTGGAGTTTGCATGTTCTCCCCGTGTCTGCGTAGGTTTCCTCCGGGTGCTCCGGTTTCCCCTACCACTAAAAACAATAGGTCTGAAGGTAAATGAGAGAGTGAATGGATGGTGTTGGGTCAGAGGCTTTGATGGTCCAGTGTGTTCTGGACTCGCTTCTGTCATCACCGTGTGTGGAAGGATTGGAACAATATCTGACTCTGAACATTGGCAAGTGCTTCGGGTCTGTACCTTTGGGTCTGTACCTTTGGGTCTGTACCTTGGTCTGTAACAGTGTCCTGTGTCCTGAAGGTTCCAGGATCACGTTAAGAGTTTGCGTCAGTTCAAGAGTCTTATTTTCCTCCATGTTTGTCTTTGAATAATATAAGGGACATGATCACAATATATCACAGACTGTCTGTATCGTGATATGTTAGAATCACAGACTGTCTGTATCGTGATATGTTAGAGTCACAGACTGTCTGTATCGTGACATGTTAGAATCACAGACTGTCTGTATCGTGATATGTCAGAATCACAGACTGTCTGTATCGTGATATGTCAGAATCACAGACTGTCTGTATCGTGATATGTTAGAATCACAGACTGTCTGTATCGTGATATGTTAGAATCACATACTGTCTGTATCGTGATATGTTAGAATCACAGACTGTCTGTATCGTGATATGTTAGAATCACAGACTGTCTGTATCGTGATATGTTAGAATCACAGACTGTCTGTATCGTGATATGTTAGAATCACAGACTGTCTGTATCGTGATATGTTAGAGTCACAGACTGTCTGTATCGTGATATGTTAGAATCACAGACTGTCTGTATCGTGATATGTTAGAATCACAGACTGTCTGTATCGTGATATGTTAGAGTCACAGACTGTCTGTATCGTGATATGTTAGAATCACAGACTGTCTGTATCGTGATATGTTAGAATCACAGACTGTCTGTATCGTGACATGTTAGAATCACAGACTGTCTGTATCGTGATATGTTAGAATCACAGACTGTCTGTATCGTGATATGTTAGAATCACAGACTGTCTGTATCGTGATATGTTAGAATCACAGACTGTCTGTATCGTGATATGTTAGAATCACAGACTGTCTGTATCGTGATATGTTAGAATCACAGACTGTCTGTATCGTGATATGTCAGAATCACAGACTGTCTGTATCGTGATATGTCAGAATCACAGACTGTCTGTATCGTGATATGTTAGAATCACAGACTGTCTGTATCGTGATATGTTAGAATCACATACTGTCTGTATCGTGATATGTTAGAATCACAGACTGTCTGTATCGTGATATGTCAGAATCACAGACTGTCTGTATCGTGATATGTTAGAATCACAGACTGTCTGTATCGTGACATGTTAGAATCACAGACTGTCTGTATCGTGATATGTTAGAATCACAGACTGTCTGTATCGTGATATGTTAGAATCACAGACTGTCTGTATCGTGATATGTTAGAATCACAGACTGTCTGTATCGTGATATGTTAGAATCACAGACTGTCTGTATCGTGATATGTTAGAATCACAGACTGTCTGTATCGTGATATGTTAGAGTCACAGACTGTCTGTATCGTGATATGTTAGAATCACAGACTGTCTGTATCGTGATATGTTAGAATCACAGACTGTCTGTATCGTGATATGTTAGAGTCACAGACTGTCAGGAACACATAAAGCTTCGTCTTACCTTATTTCTGTTTTACTTTGTCATAAATGATGCAAGAAACGTCTATAAAAAGAGAAGATAAACTTAATTCATTTCACTACAGATAAATTTACCCCAATTACTTTTAATTTATGATAAAGATTAACGTATCGAGGAACGGACACAATGTTTTTTAGACTTCATAAAGTGTGTGCAGCCTGGGGACAAACCTGAAGCTAAAACATTAAATACTGTAATAAACATATAACAATTGTTTATGGATGTTCTAAATAAACCATATTAGGCTAAATATTGATCGTAGTTAAAGGGAATGGATTAAATGCACTGAAGGTGAAATGTAAAAACTTCTGCTTTAATGTAGTCCGGTTGTGTTTGGTACAAATCAACTCCAAACCAGTGTGGGCGGGTCCCGGCTCAAAAGTGTCCAAAATGACGTGCGCTGACATGCTGCAGTACCACCCCAGGCCTGTGGGGGTGGACCCAGAAGTAGAATTAGCCAATGCTAACATATAGCATCTTCTTACCTCTGGAAAGCGTCTTTACAGGATGGTCCAAAAGTTGTCTCTTGGCCCAAAGCTCCGTTCCACATGTGTGTCAATGCTGAGTGTTCTGGACCAGTCTAGTTTAGTCGCTGTGGACTTTAGAAGTCTCTCGTTCAAATGAATGGAGCTGCGCCGGCTGACGCATGCACAGATCCGTTTTTTCACATTTTTCTTGTGGGCGGGACCACTCACGGCCATCTTGGATTGCTCCAGTAGAGCACATTTCATGGCCAACTCCTATGAACGGCGGAGATACTGACTCTGTCCGTTATTATACACAGTCTATGCTCCAAAGGCAGTGAAGAGAATAAAGGTTATATAAATGTATAATGTCATCTGCGTAACCAAACCTTTTTATGCCTCTAACTTTGAAACTGCTCGTTTTGGATCCTCTCGTTTCTGTGTTTGCCTCAAATACCACAGATTGTTGACAAAAACACAGATGGAACAAACTGTGAGATATTATTGCACTTATTGCACAGTTCTTTTGGGGTCTTTATGATTCACCATTTACTGCAATTTTAAGAAGAGCTCACGAAACACATACAGTATACATGTCCACAGTACGATGATCTTAGAAATGTATTGTTTGGTGAATTGTTTGTTCAAAAGCCTGAAATGTTCTGGATCAGTGATGACGACAAGATGAAATGGTTGTTCACTTCTAATGTGTTTAAATTGGCTTCTTTTGTTTGTAAAGCCTGGTTGAGGCGGCAGACTTGTTTGTTTAAAGAAGTTTATGTATTGTATAATGTGCCTATTGTCTGGCATCTGGTGCTTTTGTTGGTGTTATTGGTGTCTTATAAGCCCACTAGGGCTGGGCATACAGTGTGTATGCAAGGCACAATAATAAAAACTATTCATTCATTCATTCATTCATATACACAAAATTACTCATACTCATAATTTATCATTTTTTGCAGTGTAGATTGAAACAGGATTTTGTGAGATAAGTTAACCATGATGTAATATAGTTCTTATTCAAATGAATTCAAACTAATATAATCAACGATAAACAAAATGAATGTATCCAGACTGGCGCCCCCTAGTGCAGGGTCAGGTATCGCAGCTACAGAGACAGCATTGCGAACCAGGAAGTGCAGTCGGCCAATCAGAAAAGCCTAAACCTTTCTACCACCAGAAGGAGGCGTCGTTTTTTGTTTTGTTTTTTATCACCGACTGCAAACACAGACATGAACTGCCAAACAAATGATTGGGCAGGACTTTTGTTTTGAAGGCTGTGAGTGTGATGTCATAGGGGTTCAGTGACATCACACTAATGGCCATTCATGAGACTACTGTAGTAAAAGTAGAAGTTTAGACCTCGTAATAAAATACCGCTCTGTGAGAACCTTTAATGCCAACACCTTTCCGTGCATTGATTTTCTCTGATAAAGATTCCAGAGGCTGTTGAAGCCAGTTGGACCGTGGCTGTTGAAGCCAGTTGGACCGTGGCTGTTGAAGCCAGTTGGACCGTGGCTGTTGAAGCCAGTTGGACCGTGGCTGTTGAAGCCAGTTGGACCGTGGCTGTTGAAGCCAGTTGGGCCGTGGCTGTTGAAGTCAGTTGGACCGTGGCTGTTGAAGCCAGTTGGACCGTGGCTGTTGAAGCCAGTTGGACCGTGGCTGTTGAAGCCAGTTGGGCCGTGGCTGTTGAAGTCAGTTGGACCGTGGCTGTTGAAGCCAGTTGGACCGTGGCTGTTGAAGCCAGTTGGACCGTGGCTGTTGAAGCCAGTTGGACCGTGGCTGTTGAAGTCAGTTGGGCCGTGGCTGTTGAAGCCAGTTGGACCGTGGCTGTTGAAGCCAGTTGGACCGTGGCTGTTGAAGTCAGTTGGACCGTGGCTGTTGAAGCCAGTTGGGCCGTGGCTGTTGAAGCCAGTTGGGCCGTGGCTGTTGAAGCCAGTTGGACCGTGGCTGTTGAAGCCAGTTGGGCCGTGGCTGTTGAAGCCAGTTGGGCCGTGGCTGTTGAAGCCAGTTGGACCGTGGCTGTTGAAGCCAGTTGGACCGTGGCTGTTGAAGCCAGTTGGGCCGTGGCTGTTGAAGCCAGTTGGGCCGTGGCTGTTGAAGCCAGTTGGGCCGTGGCTGTTGAAGCCAGTTGGACCGTGGCTGTTGAAGTCAGTTGGACCGTGGCTGTTGAAGCCAGTTGGACCGTGGCTGTTGAAGCCAGTTGGACCGTGGCTGTTGAAGCCAGTTGGGCCGTGGCTGTTGAAGCCAGTTGGACCGTGGCTGTTGAAGCCAGTTGGGCCGTGGCTGTTGAAGCCAGTTGGGCCGTGGCTGTTGAAGCCAGTTGGGCCGTGGCTGTTGAAGCCAGTTGGACCGTGGCTGTTGAAGCCAGTTGGACCGTGGCTGTTGAAGCCAGTTGGGCCGTGGCTGTTGAAGCCAGTTGGGCCGTGGCTGTTGAAGCCAGTTGGAACGTGGCTGTTGAAGTCAGTTGGACCGTGGCTGTTGAAGCCAGTTGGACCGTGGCTGTTGAAGCCAGTTGGACCGTGGCTGTTGAAGCCAGTTGGACCGTGGCTGTTGAAGCCAGTTGGGCCGTGGCTGTTGAAGCCAGTTGGGCCGTGGCTGTTGAAGCCAGTTGGGCCGTGGCTGTTGAAGCCAGTTGGGCCGTGGCTGTTGAAGCCAGTTGGGCCGTGGCTGTTGAAGCCAGTTGGGCCGTGGCTGTTGAAGCCAGTTGGGCCGTGGCTGTTGAAGCCAGTTGGGCCGTGGCTGTTGAAGCCAGTTGGGCCGTGGCTGTTGAAGCCAGTTGGACCGTGGCTGTTGAAGCCAGTTGGGCCGTGGCTGTTGAAGCCAGTTGGGCCGTGGCTGTTGAAGCCAGTTGGACCGTGGCTGTTGAAGTCAGTTGGACCGTGGCTGTTGAAGCCAGTTGGACCGTGGCTGTTGAAGCCAGTTGGACCGTGGCTGTTGAAGCCAGTTGGGCCGTGGCTGTTGAAGCCAGTTGGACCGTGGCTGTTGAAGCCAGTTGGGCCGTGGCTGTTGAAGCCAGTTGGGCCGTGGCTGTTGAAGCCAGTTGGGCCGTGGCTGTTGAAGCCAGTTGGGCCGTGGCTGTTGAAGCCAGTTGGACCGTGGCTGTTGAAGCCAGTTGGGCCGTGGCTGTTGAAGCCAGTTGGGCCGTGGCTGTTGAAGCCAGTTGGACCGTGGCTGTTGAAGCCAGTTGGACCGTGGCTGTTGAAGTCAGTTGGACCGTGGCTGTTGAAGCCAGTTGGACCGTGGCTGTTGAAGCCAGTTGGGCCGTGGCTGTTGAAGCCAGTTGGGCCGTGGCTGTTGAAGCCAGTTGGGCCGTGGCTGTTGAAGCCAGTTGGACCGTGGCTGTTGAAGCCAGTTGGGCCGTGGCTGTTGAAGCCAGTTGGACCGTGGCTGTTGAAGCCAGTTGGGCCGTGGCTGTCTCCGGAGGGCGCTCCTCTCGCACCGGGCCGAGTGGCTTCTCAGAGTCCCACTAATCCCACACTTTAGTTTGGACTCAGGATAAACTCAGGGAAGTCCTCCAAAAATATTGGAATGTGGAAATAACGAGTCAAATTGCGTTGTTCCCGCTTTGACCACGTTACAGCTGTTTTCCTTCTTCACTTTCAAACTCAAAGCTGTTTTTTTGAGCGAGTTGTGCATGTTCAAGTAAAAGTTATTAGATTAGATTATTCGTATTAAACCTGCATAACTTTCATATACATCTACACAAACACAGATGGAGAGATCCCATTCCTCTCTAAAAGACACAGACTCTTTAGGACCAGGGTTTACCGAACGCACAAAACCGTTTTCAACATAAGCTAGCTGCAGCATTTGTTACGAAAGTACGATTTGCGGCTAAACAGGAGCAGATATGTCGCCAAAATGGTTTCTAAAAATAGACTTTTTCATATTCAGCCTCCGACATCATTGGGCGGCACGGTGGCTGAGTGGATAGCACTCTCGCCTCTCAGCAAGAAGGTCCTTGGTTCGAATCCCGGCCGGACAAGGGCCTTTCTGAGTGGAGTTTGCATGTTCTCCCCGTGTCTGCGTAGGTTTCCTCCGGGTACTCCGGTTTTCCCTACCACTAAAAATATGTCCAATAGTTCTGGCATGCGCCTCCTGTACTGGCCCCGCTCCCATCTCTGTGTGGAGTGAGAGACAAATGCCCAAATATTAACAATTGTAAACCGCTTTGAGACTCAGATCTGCAGTGAAAAGGCGGTATATAAATAGAGATTACTTACTTACTTACTTACTTACTTACTCAAAGCCTCTATCGTCCCTGCACTATCACAGTCTGTAATAAACCTCGCTCACAGACACGGCTTCTCCCGGAGTTAAAAGCAGTTTTGTGTCTGAAAAGCTCTGATTGTCGGCGCTGCAGAGAAGTGTCTGAAGTCTTTGTCTTCTCCGTCACAAAGAAGCTCCTGGATCCTGAGGTCCTTTCACGACTGCTGCTAAGATCACTTCCACCGCAGCCGAGCTAATGCGGCGCCGCCAGTTTCAGAAAAGTGGCTCTTGGTCCTAAAGTGGCTCATGGTCCAAAAGTGGCTCTTGGTCCAAAAGTGGCTCTTGGTCCAAAAGTGGCTCTTGGTCCAAAGCTACGTTCCAGATGCTGTCGTTGTTGAGGGGGAGTGGTTTTGACTCGGTGGTACTCCGAGTGCTAAAGCTAAGCTAACATGAATCCTCTACCGGCACTTTTGAACCAGTCATAGTCCTGTTTTTTGTGTATTTATAGTTTCCTTGTTTACATGTGCCTTTCGGGGATAATATCCCTTGAATCTGAACCTTTATTCACAAGCTTTGACAGTGATTTTAATGAATTATTGAGATATGAATTAAAAATGACAGCGGCTGAAGAAGAATTGCACCCAAAGAGAAGATAAAACTGTCGGTAAAACAGAAATGGCTTTGACCTTGACCAATGCTCTGTTTAATGACTTTACTGAAGACTTTACTGAAAAACGTGTATTTTCTTTTAATAAAACAATACATTTGATTGTAGATCGAGACCAGTTCCTGTTTTCATCTGTGATCCCTGTGTGTGGCGAGGCGTTCAGGTGCACCTCCTGCTCCGTGTTTTTCTATTGTTCATCTGTCACCGCTCAACTGTATCTGCAGAGCGCTCAGACATGACTGTTACCATGGAGATAATACACAACATGTGCAAGATGGTTTCCAGGAAGTAATCGGAGTCAGCGCAGCGACAGGCCTTTTTAAATAAAGGTTACAGAGGATGGAGTTTAGGTTTTTTATTACCATGAGAAACAAGACGAGTTTTAACAGACCTTCAAATGTGAGACTGGTTTGTTTTATTCTTCTGGTAGCAAAAAAATGATTCATAAATTGGTTTTATAAAGCGCTTTTCAGGACTCTCAAAGTCTCTTCGCATCATTCTTCTCTCTCTCCAAACACGGTGGTGATAAACTACTGTAGCCACAGCTGCCCTGGGGCACACTGACAGAAGCGAGGCAACCAGTCTGTGCCATCAGCCCCTCCCACCACCACCAACCATTCACACACACACCAGACTCATTCTACTGTGGGGGAAGTGTCTTGCCTAAGGACACAGTCTGGTCTTACCATGTGTAAACTCTGGTCCATGGTCATTTCCTACATGTACGTCTGGTCTTACCATGTGTAAACTCTGATCCATGGTCATTTCCTACATGTACGTCTGGTCTTACCATGTGTAAACTCTGGTCCATGGTCATTTCCTACATGTACGTCTGGTCTTACCATGTGTAAACTCTGGTCCATGGTCATTTCCTACATGTACGTCTGGTCTTACCATGTGTAAACTCTGATCCATGGTCATTTCCTACATGTACGTCTGGGTCTGATCCTAGTGGCTGCAGTTTCCTCGGTTGAATCCCCTCCGACCAATCAGAGAGCGGGGGAGGCTAAAGGCTAAAGCTAGGCTAAATGCCTCACTCACTCGGGCTCATTACATACGTCACGGTAAACTCAGATCCAATGGTTTCAATCTGCAAAAGGAGTTAGCCCCTCCCACCTGTTAACGGAGTCAATGAAGCAAATCCAGACCTTAGTACAGAATGAAATGAGTACCATGGTGTGGTAAGACTAAGTAGCTCTGATGGTAATTCCAAAGTTAACTCCAGGTTCGGGGACAGCTTTTCCTCTTGAGCCTGAACTGAAGGAGATTCCTGCAGGATGACATCACCGCAGGGTTGAGAGAGAGAGAGAGAGAGAGAGTTCTGTTTCCCATCAGCCCTTGCAGCTATAATCTCATAATCGATGCAGCTCAGTTCAGAGTCTCAGTGATGTTTTGGCGTTTAAAAAAGAAAAACAGAATCCAGTCACGGTACATTTCTGATGGCTCTGTCTCCTGCTTATCATTAATAATAATTTTATACAGTTATTCTCTCTCTCCAAACACGGTGGTGATAAACTTCTACTGTAGCCACAGCTGCCCTGGGGCACACTGACAGAAGCGAGGCAACCAGTCTGTGCCATCGGCCCCTCCCACCACCAACCATTCACACACACACCAGACTCATTCTAATGTGGGAGAAGTGTCTTGCCTAAGGACACAACCACAGTTTGGCACTTTACAGCCGCAGCCGCCTCACTGTGACACCTGCTGTTGTCCCAGAGGTCTCCCATCACCACACTAACCAGGCCCTGCACTGCTTAGCTTCAGAGGTGTGACAGGATCAGGCTCTCACAGGCAGCTTTAGAATCCAGTTCACATTTTTATCTTTTCTCAAGCATCAAATCAGATAAATACATTTCCCAGTCGCGTGAGATCGACGGTTATTTAAAGCTGGGGTTCCTTTTTGGGGCACTTTTTGACCCTTTGGGCGGAGGAAACGTGGATCAGTCTTTTGTAATTTTCCCCCAAAAATAAATTTGATCTGAACATGTGACGGAGGCCAACATGAATGTCAGTATTGGCTCTAGCATCGTTCTGGTGCCGGTGCAGTCTGAGGGGTCGTTCTGGTCCCGGTGCAGTCTGAGGGTTCGTTCTGGTCCCGGTGCAGTCTGAGGGGTCGTTCTGGTCCCGGTGCAGTCTGAGGGTTCGTTCTGGTCCCGGTGCAGTCTGAGGGGTCGTTCTGGTCCCGGTGCAGTCTGAGGGGTCGTTCTGGTCCCGGTGCAGTCTGAGGGTTCGTTCTGGTCCCGGTGCAGTCTGAGGGGTCGTTCTGGTCCCGGTGCAGTCTGAGGGTTCGTTCTGGTCCCGGTGCAGTCTGAGGGTTCGTTCTGGTCCCGGTGCAGTCTGAGGGTTTGTTCTGGTCCCGGTGCAGTCTAAGGGTTCATTCTGGTCCCGGTGCAATCTGAGGGTTCGTTCTGGTCCCGGTGCAGTCTGAGGGTTCGTTCTGGTCCCGGTGCAGTCTGAGGGTTCGTTCTGGTCCCGGTGCAGTCTGAGGTTCGTTTGTCCGTGCAGTCTGAGGGTTCTTCTGGTCCCGGTGCAGTCTGAGGGTTCGTTCTGGTCCCGGTGCAGTCTGAGGTTCGTTCTGGGTGCAGTCTGAGGGTTCGTTCTGGTCCCGTGGTGCAGTCCGTGAGTCGGTTCGTTCTGTCCGTGCAGTCTGAGGGTCGTTCGGTGCAGTCTGAGGGTTCGTTCTGGTCCCGGTGCGTCTGAGGTCGTTCTGGTCCGGTGCAGTCTGAGGTTCGTTCTGGTCCCGGTGCAGTCTGAGGGTTCGTTCTGGTCCCGGTGCAGTCTGAGGGTTCGTTCTGGTCCCGGTGCAGTCAGTCCGGTGCAGGGTTCGTTCTGGTCCCGGTGCAGTCTGAGGGTTCGTTCTGGTCCCGGTGCAGTCTGAGGGTTCGTTCTGGTCCCGGTGCAGTCTGATTGGGTTCGTGTCCGTGCAGTCCGTCGGTGCAGTCTGAGGGGTCGTTCTGGTCCCGGTGCAGTCTGAGGGGTCTTGTCCGGTGCAGTCTGAGGTTCGTTCTGGTCCCGGTGCAGTCTGAGGGTTCGTTCTGGTCCCGGTGCAGTCTGAGGTCGTTCTGTCCGTGCAGTCTGAGGGTCGTCTGTCCTGGTCTGAGGTTCGTTCTGGTCCCGGTGCAGTCTGAGGGTTCGTTCTGGTCCCGGTGCAGTCTGAGGGTTCGTTCTGTTGCAGTCTGAGGTCTTCTGGTCCCGGTGCAGTCTGAGGGTTCGTTCTGGTCCCGGTGCAGTCTGAGGGTTCGTTCTGGTCCCGGTGCAGTCTGAGGGGTCGTTCTGGTCCCGGTGCAGTCTGAGGGTCGTTCTGGTCCCGGTGCAGTCTGAGTCGGGTCGTTCTGGTCCCGGTGCAGTCTGAGGGTTCGTTCTGGTCCCGGTGCAGTCTGAGGGTTCGTTCTGGTCCCGGTGCAGTCTGAGGGGTCTGTCCGTGCATCTAGGTCTTCGTCCGGTGCAGTCTGAGGGTTCGTTCTGGTCCCGGTGCAGTCTGAGGGTTCTGGTCCGTCAGTCGAGGTCGTCCCGGTGCAGTCTGAGGGTTCGTTCTGGTCCCGGTGCAGTCTGAGGGGTCGTTCTGGTCCCGGTGCAGTCTGAGGTATCGTTCTGTGGTCCCGGTGCAGTCTGAGGGGTCGTTCTGGTCCCGGTGCAGTCTGAGGGTTCGTTCTGGTCCCGGTGCAGTCTGAGGGTTCGTTCTGGTCCCGGTGCAGTCTGAGGGTTCGTTCTGGTCCCGGTGCAGTCTGAGGGTTCGTTCTGGTCCCGGTGCAGTCTGAGGGGTCGTTCTTGTCCCGGTGCAGTCTGAGGTATCGTTCTGGTCCCGGTGCAGTCTGAGGGGTCGTTCTGGTCCCGGTGCAGTCTGAGGGATCGTTCTGGTCCCGGTGCAGTCTGTGAGGGTTCGTTCTTGTCCCGGTGCAGTCTGAGGGTTTGTTCTTGTCCCGGTGCAGTCTGAGGGTTCGTTCTGGTCCCGGTGCAGTCTGAGGGTTCGTTCTGGTCCCGGTGCAGTCTGAGGGTTCGTTCTGGTCCCGGTGCAGTCTGAGGGGTCGTTCTGGTCCCGGTGCAGTCTGAGGGTTCGTTCTGGTCCCGGTGCAGTCTGAGGGTTCATTCTGGTCCCGGTGCAGTCTGAGGGGTCGTTCTTGTCCCGGTGCAGTCTGAGGGTTCGTTCTGGTCCCGGTGCAGTCTGAGGGTCGTTCTTGTCCCGTTGCAGTCTGAGGTATCGTTCTGGTCCCGGTGCAGTCTGAGGGGTCGTTCTGGTCCCGGTGCAGTCTGAGGTATCGTTCTGGTCCCGGTGCAGTCTGAGGGTTCATTCTTGTCCCGGTGCAGTCTGAGGGTTCGTTCTTGTCCCGGTGCAGTCTGAGGGTTCGTTCTGGTCCCGGTGCAGTCTGAGGGTTCGTTCTGGTCCCGGTGCAGTCTGAGGGTTCGTTCTGGTCCCGGTGCAGTCTGAGGGGTCGTTCTGGTCCCGGTGCAGTCTGAGGGTTCGTTCTGGTCCCGGTGCAGTCTGAGGGTTCATTCTGGTCCCGGTGCAGTCTGAGGGGTCGTTCTTGTCCCGGTGCAGTCTGAGGGTTCGTTCTGGTCCCGGTGCAGTCTGAGGGGTCGTTCATTGTCCCGTTGCTGTCTGAGGTATCGTTCTGGTCCCGGTGCAGTCTGAGGGGTCGTTCTGGTCCCGGTGCAGTCTGAGGTATCGTTCTGGTCCCGGTGCAGTCTGAGGGTTCGTTCTTGTCCCGGTGCAGTCTGAGGGTTCGTTCTGGTCCCGGTGCAGTCTGAGGGTTCGTTCTGGTCCCGGTGCAGTCTGAGGGTTCGTTCTGGTCCCGGTGCAGTCTGAGGGGTCGTTCTGGTCCCGGTGCAGTCTGAGGGTTCGTTCTGGTCCCGGTGCAGTCTGAGGGTTCATTCTGGTCCCGGTGCAGTCTGAGGGGTCGTTCTTGTCCCGGTGCAGTCTGAGGGTTCGTTCTGGTCCCGGTGCAGTCTGAGGGGTCGTTCATTGTCCCGTTGCTGTCTGAGGTATCGTTCTGGTCCCGGTGCAGTCTGAGGGGTCGTTCTGGTCCCGGTGCAGTCTGAGGTATCGTTCTGGTCCCGGTGCAGTCTGAGGGTTCGTTCTTGTCCCGGTGCAGTCTGAGGGTTCGTTCTGGTCCCGGTGCAGTCTGAGGGTTCGTTCTGGTCCCGGTGCAGTCTGAGGGTTCGTTCTGGTCCCGGTGCAGTCTGAGGGGTCGTTCTGGTCCCGGTGCAGTCTGAGGGTTCGTTCTGGTCCCGGTGCAGTCTGAGGGTTCATTCTGGTCCCGGTGCAGTCTGAGGGGTCGTTCTTGTCCCGGTGCAGTCTGAGGGTTCGTTCTGGTCCCGGTGCAGTCTGAGGGGTCGTTCTTGTCCCGTCAGTCTGAGGTATCGTTCTGGTCCCGGTGCAGTCTGAGGGGTCGTTCTGGTCCCGGTGCAGTCTGAGGTATCGTTCTGGTCCCGGTGCAGTCTGAGGGTTCGTTCTGGTCCCGGTGCAGTCTGAGGGTTCGTTCTTGTCCCGGTGCAGTCTGAGGGTTCGTTCTGGTCCCGGTGCAGTCTGAGGGTTCGTTCTGGTCCCGGTGCAGTCTGAGGGTTCGTTCTGGTCCCGGTGCAGTCTGAGGGTTCGTTCTGGTCCCGGTGCAGTCTGAGGGTTCGTTCTGGTCCCGGTGCAGTCTGAGGGTTCATTCTGGTCCCGGTGCAGTCTGAGGGGTCGTTCTTGTCCCGGTGCAGTCTGAGGGTTCGTTCTGGTCCCGGTGCAGTCTGAGGTATCGTTCTGGTCCCGGTGCAGTCTGAGGGTTCGTTCTTGTCCCGGTGCAGTCTGAGGGTTCGTTGTGGTCCCGGTGCAGTCTGAGGGTTCGTTCTGGTCCCGGTGCAGTCTGAGGGTTCGTTCTGGTCCCGGTGCAGTCTGAGGGGTCGTTGTGGTCCCGGTGCAGTCTGAGGGTTCGTTCTGGTCCCGGTGCAGTCTGAGGGTTCGTTCTGGTCCCGGTGCAGTCTGAGGGGTCGTTCTGGTCCCGGTGCAGTCTGAGGGTTCGTTCTGGTCCCGGTGCAGTCTGAGGGTTCATTCTGGTCCCGGTGCAGTCTGAGGGTTCGTTCTGGTCCCGGTGCAGTCTGAGGTATCGTTCTGGTCCCGGTGCAGTCTGAGGGGTTGTTCTGGTCCCAGTCGCTGCAGCTTCAGCCGAGTCAGTGTTTGTGTGTGAGTGCAGAGTAAATATTTAATCAGTCTTAAATAATAAAGGCTGGGTCAGAGCTGTACTTCCTCTGCTCCACCCGCTCCACCCGCTCCACCCCCTCCACCCCCTCCACCCCCACTGCACCAAAACACCCTCGAAGACCACCATGACCCTGGCCTGGCCTCACCGCACCATGGTACTCATTTCATTTGGTACTATGAACAGGTGGGAGGGGCTAACTCCTTCTGCAGATTGAAACCATTGGATCTGAGTTTACCGTGATGTATGTAATGAGCCCGAGTGAGTGAGGCCGTTAGCATTTAGCCTAGCTTTAGCATTTAGCCTAGCTTTAGCCATCTCCTTTGCCACTAACGGAGCCCGTGGGGAGTAGAGCCACAACATATTTGCTTCAATGACATTTACTAAACATTCCCCTTTCCATCCATCCATCTTCTTCCCCTTAATCCATGTCTGGGTCAGGGGTGGCAGTCAGAGCACCAGCCCCTCCCTGATCCTCCTGCAGGTGGTGAGTGGTCTTACAGTGGAGGCTTCAGGCAGAGTGGGGTTAAGTGTCTTGCCCAAGGACACAACGACAGCAGTCATCAGTGGGAGTCGGTGGAGAAGGTCTCGTGGTGGACTCGAACCCATGACCTTCAGGCTCAAAGGCCAATGCTCTTGGGGATTCAACCGAGGAAACTGCAGCCACTAGGATCAGACCCAGACGTACATGTAGGAAATGACCATGGACCAGAGTTTACACATGGTAAGACCAGACATACATGTAGGAAATGACCATGGACCAGAGTTTACACATGGTAAGACCAGACGTACATGTAGGAAATGACCATGGACCAGAGGTTACACATGGTAAGACCAGACGTACATGTAGGAAATGACCATGGACCAGAGTTTACACATGGTAAGACCAGACGTACATGTAGGAAATGATCATGGACCAGAGTTTACACATGGTAAGACCAGACGTACATGTAGGAAATGACCATGGACCAGAGTTTACACATGGTAAGACCAGACGTACATGTAGGAAATGACCATGGACCAGAGTTTACACATGGTAAGACCAGACGTACATGTAGGAAATGACCATGGACCAGAGTTTACACATGGTAAGACCAGACGTACATGTAGGAAATGATCATGGACCAGAGTTTACACATGGTAAGACCAGACGTACATGTAGGAAATGATCATGGACCAGAGTTTACACATGGTAAGACCAGATGTACATGTAGGAGATGATCATGGACCAGAGGTTACACATGGTAAGACCAGACGTACATGCAGGAAATGACCATGGACCAGAGTTTACACATGGTAAGACCAGACGTACATGTAGGAAATGACCATGGACCAGAGTTTACACATGGTAAGACCAGACGTACATGTAGGAAATGATCATGGACCAGAGTTTACACATGGTAAGTCCAGACGTACATGCAGGAAATGACCATGGACCAGAGTTTACACATGGTAAGACCAGATGTACATGTAGGAAGTGATCATGGACCAGAGTTTACACATGGTAAGACCAGACGTACATGTAGGAAGTGATCATGGACCAGAGTTTACACATGGTAAGACCAGACGTACATGTAGGAAACATACATAGTTTACAGATGCTAATGCTAGGCTAGCTCTGTATGTGCCTAGTTTGAGTCTTGTAGTATGTGGTCAAACTTAAAGGAGAAAGGGACGCCTCTAAACACCAGTAAACACCAGTAACCTTCTCTTCAATCATTCAGGGCCCACATGGTCCGGGTTCTCACCTCACAGTTAAAAGGTCCTGGGTTCAAGTTCCAGATGGTGTGGAATAAGATGGGCTCACGGTAAAGGTCAAGTATCACTCTGAAGACAGTCGAGCATATCCGACCTCTGACCTTCGACCAGGACTGAACCAGGACTGAACCAGGACTTACCACACCATCATACTCATTTCATTTCGTGCTAAGGTCTGGATTTTCATGGCTAAACGAGACTCAAACCCAAGACTTGACTCCTGAGTGTTCCTGGTCTTATCCACTCTCGGCTCAATCATCATTTCCTGCACATAACGTCTGGGTCTGGTCCCTGTGTTTGAGATTACAATCAGTTAAAGCTGCATTAACTGACTGTATTTTTGTATTCATCAGTTAAATAATCCAACCCATGTCCTTCAGTGCTTTGGGATAAACGTCCTTTTGAAGAATAAGTAGCGCAGGTTTGTGCTGCCGTGTCATTTTATTTTAGATCGAGTTTTCATGAAACAAGAAGAGAATGTGTTTCAGGTCCAGATTGTGACCAATCACAGCGGACCACTGGCCCCCACTTCCTTGAGAAAAGCCACAGGTCTGAGGTTAGCACCGACAGCTGAGGTAAACAAGCGGCGGAGCTAACCTGAAACTTCTGTGTCTTTGTTTCCGGTTTCTGCTTACTCAGAGAAACAAACAAAAAAAGCTCCTTGCAGGGAGGGGGACCAGCGCTCACATTCGAAAATGTCACAAAGTCAGTTGGTGCAGCTTTAAATCCCATCCGACCAATCAGAGAGCGCGGGAGGCGGGTGTTGTAGTTAGATGTGGGTGACATCAAGAGTTTGCGCCGAACGGGCAGGTTGTAGTTTGGCGGAGAATGTAATAGTAAAATATTCTCGTCTGGTTCTATCAAGAAACTGAAGCCGGAGCAAGAGGAATGTTCAGGTTTTATCCACACTTTCTCTTTGATCCGTCTTTGTTTGAAATCTATGTTTAAATCAAGTCTTTTTAGTTTTTGAGTTAAGACCTTTTAAAATCCAGATACTTTCATTGATACTTTACTATGAACACACTCATAAAGTAGCAGTGGCTTGGACCTTACACTGCAAAAAGTGATCAAAAATAACCACAAAACTGCTAAAATCTTGGAAAATCTAAATCTGAGCCCATTTTGACTGTGGCTAAGACAAGATTTACCAATGAAACAAAACAAAATGATCTTGTGTTAAAGAAATACAAGAAATATCTCACTTGGGATGAAAGAAAAGTACCCCATTTGTGATCGTTTTTGCAGTGTAACCATAGTAACGGTTTACTCTGAGGCAAAGTGTTTGTTTCCGTGGGTATTACCGGACCTGACTGTGACTGTGAGAGACATCAGTGTTGTGGACGTCCCACTGCAGCGGCCGGGACTCCCCTGTTTACTGTCCACTCAGCTCCGGGCTCGCGGCTAAAAATAACACACACACACACACACACACACACACACGCACGAACACACACACTCACACATACACACACACACATACACACACACACATGCACTCACACACACACACACTCATCTGACTCATGTTTCCCATAATGTGATCTGATAATGCGTTTGTGTTGGAGACTGAAGAGAGGAGACTACATTTCCCAGAATTCCACAGTATTTAACCTGTTTTAAACCTGGGCTAGTTTTGATTCAAATTTGCTTCAGGTTTGATGTAATCCTGGTTTTAATCTTTGGCATTTCAGTCCAAAAACACATTCAAATGTCCATCCAGTTTGGTCCTGGTTTTGTCCTGGTTTTGTCCTGGTTTGGTCCTGATTTTGTCCTGGTTTGGTCCTGGTCTGGACCTGGTTTGGTCCTGGTCTGGACCTGTCGTGGTGGGACTGAGAGGAGACTGAGGTCAAAGCTTTTTGTGGAGAATCGATCGACACAGACTCAACACATTAATAATTCAGCTCCAGCTTCAGAGACTCAGGACTGAGATAAAACAAACAGTAAACTTGGTCCAAACCCGCTTTGACCTGGACTAACTCTGACCCTGAACCAGACCTGTCCAAACTCAGGCCCGGGGGCCAATGGCAGCCCTCAGTGTCATTGTATGTGGCCCTCTGCCTCGCTAACCCACAGCAGTCTGTGAGATCATAAAGTTCACTGTGTCATCCATCCAACTTCAGCTCAGCCAATATTCTTGTGTTTCATGAACCTGGCCAGTAGGGGGCGCATGAGCAGAGATGGGACAGTTTTGCTCCCATTGAAAACCATGTAAAGTCTGTTTTGGAGTCAAAGGCTCTCCTCCTGTGCGGTGTACGGTTGTTGGAACAGTCTAAGGGAAAACTAATAAATATTTAGGAAAAAAACAGAAGAAATGTCTGCGTTTCATTGGGGTGGCCTGCAGGGGGCGCTTATCTGGGAAAGCCTTGATCCACCTCCGCCTCATTCCAGTGATGTTTTCAAAGTGTCCTCCTTTATATGAGACCACAGTTGGAACATGAACAAACTCTTGTCTTTCTCTCTATTTGTGCGGTTGCTACAAACGTACACCGCACAAAAAGATGCTTCTTCTTCTACTATATCTCCGTGTATAAACCACTTCTTCTTCTACTATATCTCCGCGTAGAAACCACTTCTTCTACTATATCTCCGTGTATAAACCAATTCTTCTTCTACTATATCTCCGTGTATAAACCACTTCTTCTTCTACTATATCTCCGCGTAGAAACCACTTCTTCTACTATATCTCCGTGTATAAACCAATTCTTCTTCTACTATATCTCCGTGTATAAACCACTTCTTCTTCTACTATATCTGTGTATAAACCACTTCTTCTTCTACTATATCTCCGTGTATAAACCACTTCTTCTTCTACTATATCTCCGTGTATAAACCACTTCTTCTTCTACTATATCTGTGTATAAACCAATTCTTCTTCTACTATATCTCCGTGTATAAACCACTTCTTCTTCTACTATATCTCCGTGTATAAACCAATTCTTCTTCTACTATATCTCCGTGTATAAACCCGGCAGACTGCAGCGCCAGGATACGTCACGTCCTGTCCTACGTTTGTTATTCGGACCACTGCCCTGACGTCGTATGAAACCCAAGAACAGACCTTGTTCTAAAGCCCAGAACGTACTGAGGTGGTTTTTGATTGTGTCACTTCTGTTATCGACGCTAATGTAGCTGTAGATGGTAAACATGTGTCATTCAGCCAACTTCAGCTGTGTTATACATCATCATAAAGCTCAGATCAGCCTGATGCCAGTCCAGACAGTTTTGCAGTCCGTGACGTCGGCCCCTGGACTGGTCTGGTGAACTAAAGTGGCCTCTTACTAAAAAGTTTGGACACCCCTGACCTAAGCAAACTGAGATAGATGAAACTAAGGCGCTGTGCAGACACGACACGGCTCCTTTTGGAAATATCACAGCGTTCATGAAAGGATGAAAAAACGCCCGGCCAGTAGGGGGCAGAAGAGCTTTACAACACCACACACAGGACCCCGAGACCCCCACCCCAGCAGGATACTCACTTCCTCAACATCGTCCTCAGCCCCCCGCAAAGACATGAAAGAACCAACATCCTTCTTTAACAGCAAACTGGGACTCTGAGGAGCACAGGGACTCTGAGGAGCACAGGGACTCTGAGGAGCACGGGGACTCTGAGGAGCACGGGGACTCTGAGGAGCACAGGGACTCTGAGGAGCACGGGGACTCTGAGGAGCACGGGGACTCTGAGGAGCACGGGGACTCTGAGGAGCACAGGGACTCTGAGGAGCACGGGGACTCTGAGGAGCACGGGGACTCTGAGGAGCACGGGGACTCTGAGGAGCACGGGGACTCTGAGGAGCACGGGGACTCTGAGGAGCACGGGGACTCTGAGGAGTACGGGGACTCTGAGGAGCACGGGGACTCTGAGGAGCACGGGGACTCTGAGGAGCACGGGGACTCTGAGGAGCACGGGGACTCTGAGGAGCACGGGGACTCTGAGGAGCACGGGGACTCTGAGGAGCACGGGGACTCTGAGGAGCACGGGGACTCTGAGGAGCACGGGGACTCTGAGGAGCACGGGGACTCTGAGGAGCACGGGGACTCTGAGGAGCACGGGGACTCTGAGGAGCACGGGGACTCTGAGGAGCACGGGGACTCTGAGGAGCACGGGGACTCTGAGGAGCACGGGGACTCTGAGGAGCACGGGGACTCTGAGGAGCACGGGGACTCTGAGGAGCACGGGGACTCTGAGGAGCACGGGGACTCTGAGGAGCACGGGGACTCTGAGGAGCACGGGGACTCTGAGGAGCACAGGGACTCTGAGGAGCACAGGGACTCTGAGGAGCACAGGGACTCTGAGGAGCACGGGGACTCTGAGGATCACGGGGACTCTGAGGAGCACGGGGACTCTGAGGAGCACGGGGACTCTGAGGAGCACGGGGACTCTGAGGAGCACGGGGACTCTGAGGAGCACGGGGACTCTGAGGAGCACGGGGACTCTGAGGAGCACGGGGACTCTGAGGAGCACGGGGACTCTGAGGAGCACAGGGACTCTGAGGAGCACGGGGACTCTGAGGAGCACGGGGACTCTGAGGAGCACGGGGACTCTGAGGAGCACGGGGACTCTGAGGAGCACAGGGACTCTGAGGAGCACAGGGACTCTGAGGAGCACAGGGACTCTGAGGAGCACAGGGACTCTGAGGAGCACGGGGACTCTGAGGATTACAGGGACTCTGAGGAGCACGGGGACTCTGAGGAGCACGGGGACTCTGAGGAGCACGGGGACTCTGAGGAGCACGGGGACTCTGAGGAGCACGGGGACTCTGAGGAGCACGGGGACTCTGAGGAGCACGGGGACTCTGAGGAGCACGGGGACTCTGAGGAGCACAGGGACTCTGAGGAGCACAGGGACTCTGAGGAGCACAGGGACTCTGAGGAGCACAGGGACTCTGAGGAGCACGGGGACTCTGAGGAGCACGGGGACTCTGAGGATCACAGGGACTCTGAGGAGCACGGGGACTCTGAGGAGCACGGGGACTCTGAGGAGCACGGGGACTCTGAGGAGCACGGGGACTCTGAGGAGCACGGGGACTCTGAGGAGCACGGGGACTCTGAGGAGCACGGGGACTCTGAGGAGCACGGGGACTCTGAGGAGCACGGGGACTCTGAGGAGCACAGGGACTCTGAGGAGCACAGGGACTCTGAGGAGCACGGGGACTCTGAGGAGCACGGGGACTCTGAGGAGCACGGGGACTCTGAGGAGCACGGGGACTCTGAGGAGCACGGGGACTCTGAGGAGCACGGGGACTCTGAGGAGCACGGGGACTCTGAGGAGCACAGGGACTCTGAGGAGCACAGGGACTCTGAGGAGCGCACAGGGACTCTGAGGAGCACAGGGACTCTGAGGAGCACAGGGACTCTGAGGAGCACAGGGACTCTGAGGAGCACAGGGACTCTGAGGAGCACAGGGACTCTGAGGAGCACGGGACTCTGAGGAGCACAGGGACTCTGAGGAGCACAGGGACTCTGAGGAGCACAGGGACTCTGAGGAGCACAGGGACTCTGAGGAGCACAGGGACTCTGAGGACGGGCACGCTGGGACTCTGAGGAGCACAGGGACTGGCCTCCTGCTGGGACTCTGAGGAGCACAGGGACTGGCCTCCTGCTGGGACTCTGAGGAGCACAGGGACTGGGACTCTGAGGAGCACAGGGACTGGGACTCTGAGGAGCACAGGGACTGGGACTCTGAGGAGCACAGGGACTGGCATCATGTGTATAATGTGTGATATTCTGCAGAGTTAGTGAAGTCTGTGATGATCGTTCCTTAGATAAAATGAAACTGTAAAAACGTTCTCTTTTGATTGGATAAAGGCTGAAGTGGGCGTGGCTCTTCACGCCTGATACTGTTCACACAAACCCTGAGCTTAGTCCCTTTTGACATAAAAAAGGAAATACCAACGTTGGAGGAAGATCCAAAAGCAGAAAGTGTTGGTGAAGCAGGACACGGTGCTGGTGAGAGAGGGTCCGATGGAACCAGATCAGAAAGAGGAAAGACAAAGCCATGGCTCGCGGTTGCCAGATAAGAAGTGTGTGATGGAGGCTGGCGGTTGCCAGATAAGAAGTGTGTGATGGAGGCTCCCTGGGGATCGACTACACCTGATCCTCCACAGATCCATATCTGCATCTCTGCGTCCTGTCACTCAGACCTGATGCTCGCACTCCGGGACGCCGCAGAATCAAAAGGCACCTCCGCTCAGAACATAAGCCCGAGTCGAGGCAGCGCGAGGCGGGCATGACCCTCAGAGGGGGGAGGGGGTGGATAGACCGAGGAGAGCGGAGCCGGGTCGCAGCTGGAATCAGCCACAGCCGACAAGAGGAAATAAACACAGTGATGGCGGCGAAAAGCACAGGATACAGAGGTGGTGTTGGGCTCGAGCCCTTTGTACGGCCATAAGTGTGAGAGGATTATTATTATGATTATTATTATTATTATTATTATTATGATTATTATTATTATAATATTATTATTATTATGATTATGATTATTATTATTACTACATTTCCATCTGGACGGACTCAGGACAAACATACATCAGAGATATCTAAATCTGAGAGGGGGGAGTTTTACATCGAACTACAGCGTGACTATATTGATGGAGCTGAAGTTGGCTGGATGACCCTGTGTCAGCCCTGGGACAGGCTTTGGACATGTAGAGTAAGTCATGTTTATTTATATAGTGCATTTTTCAGACCAAGGCACAGACCCAAAGCACTTTACAATGTTCAGAGTTTAGATATAGTTCCAGTCTCTCCACACGGTGATGAAGAGAGACCAGAACACACTGGACCAGAACACACTGGACCAGAACACACTGGACCAGAACACACTGGACCATCAAAGCCTCCGACCAAACACCCTTCACTCATTGCATTCAGGCCTATGGTACCTCACAGCCAGAGGAAACCTACGCAGACACGGGGAGAACATGCAAACATGCCCTGTTCTGACCGAGATTCAAACCCAGGACCTTCTTGCTGAGAAGCCACCGTACTGTGTCAAGGCTACAATCTTTCCAAAAGAACAAGTAAATATGTTTTTTTAAGAATGATAGAAAATTCTCACTTTAAAAGATCAAAGACGTGTGACTTTACCTGAAAGAACAAATATTTACCTTTTCCTGTGGATATCATTTATTGCAGTAAAAAAGGTCCAGTTTTGGACCCCGCGCCACAAGTTGGACCGGCCTAGATTGGCCTAGACCGGCCTAGATTGGCCTAGACCGGCCTAGACCACGCTCATGCCCAAGGTCAGCTTCTGTGCCTCAGAAGTTACATATATATAGTTTTTTTCCCAAAACACTGGAAATGATACAATTCTTCAAACAAATGGATATTACTTTGTCTCCGTCTGGACCTGAACCAAGTCCTTTCAGAATCTGGACTGACTTTCCATCGCTCAATTCTATTTCAGGAATCCCAAAGTAAAAGAACATCACAGGAGCCAAAGACGCAGCCTGAATATAATACAGAAGTTTATCTAATTATGCACCGAGAAATGAAACAATACTGATTATTGATAATAAAAGGCGGGGCATCAGGTCCACTGCAAAAAGGGAGGAAAAAGTCAAGAATTGCTCAAATTTGGTCAAATGTGTCTTAATCTGACTCTTATTTAAAACTAGATTCTCCAACGGCACGAAGCAAAATGATCTTTAAACAGATCCAACAAATGTGTCTCTTAAGCAACAGTTAATGAAATAAAACTAAAAGTGTCCCGCGGTGGAAAGAGGAAGAACCCGAAATACTGCAAAAATAACATAATTGAATAAACAAAACAAACAAGAAGGAGAGAGCACAGGGACTTTAAATGAGACACACAGGTACAGCACATAAGAGGGGGGGAGGGGCAATCAACAAAACAGGAAGAAAGAAATAAAACAAGAACTAAAAAATGGCCGCCGTGTCCAACTGCCTTCGTCCCATTGGCTCGTCTCGTGTGAACACAGCCTGAATGTGATTAAGATAAAAAACATTTATTACCTCATATTCTGTCAGTTTTTGCAGAGTCTGTTTACACCTCAGCATCGCTAACCGCTACGCTAATTTATTCTGCAGGTCTGCCAACGTCTCCGTGTTTGTTTTGATGATTCAGATTCTGATTGGCCGATGCACCTGTCACCTGACACTGCAGAAGAACAACCAGTCCCAGACACGGTGATAAAAGCATTCATCGTCTGAACCGACTGTTCCACTTCGTTATCGCTCGTCATTAAAACACAATCTGCACTTTCTGAATCAAATCATGAAGAAATATACGTTAGATTTAGATTACAACACGGACACACCTGTGATCCATACACGCCAGTATCAGGACCACAGACTGTGTACTGGTAGGAGCACAGACCGTGTACTGGTAGGACCACAGACTGTGTACTGGTAGGACCACAGACCGTGTACTGGTAGGACCACAGACCGTGTACTGGTAGGACCACAGACCGTGTACTGGTAGGACCACAGACCGTGTACTGGTAGGACCACAGACCGTGTACTGGTAGGACCACAGACTGTGTACTGGTAGGACCACAGACTGTGTACTGGTAGGACCACAGACCGTGTACTGGTAGGACCACAGACTGTGTACTGGTAGGACCACAGACTGTGTACTGGTAGGACCACAGACTGTGTACTGGTAGGACCACAGACTGTGTACTGGTAGGACCACAGACTGTGTACTGGTAGGACCACAGACCGTGTACTGGTAGGACCACAGACTGTGTACTGGTAGGACCACAGACCGTGTACTGGTAGGAGCACAGACCGTGTACTGGTAGGACCACAGACCGTGTACTGGTAGGACCACAGACCGTGTACTGGTAGGACCACAGACTGTGTACTGGTAGGACCACAGACCGTGTACTGGTAGGACCACAGACTGTGTACTGGTAGGACCACAGACCGTGTACTGGTAGGACCACAGACTGTGTACTGGTAGGACCACAGACCGTGTACTGGTAGGACCACAGACCGTGTACTGGTAGGAGCAGTAGTAGCAGTAGCAGTAGTAGGAGCAGTAGTAGTAGAAACCTGCACTGACACGGGGAGAACATGCAAACTCCACTCAGAAAGGCCCTGTTCCGACCGGGATTCGAACCCAGGACCTTCTTGCTGAGAGGCGAGGGTGCTACTCCGGCAGAAGCTTGTTTCCGGCGTCTCTGAACAGATGGATCCTTCACGGTCTGTTGTCCTTCTTTAACCATGAGCGCTTCCCCGAGAACACCAGCCGTTTACTTCCTTTTACATAACAGGCTATTTTTAGCAACGCCGCTTCTCAGGCCGCCTCCAAATCACATCACCGAGACGTCACCGAGACGTCACCGAGACGTCACCGAGACGTCACCGAGACGTCACCGAGACGTCACCGAGGCGTCACCGAGACGTCACCGAGACGTCACCGAGACGTCACCGAGACGTCACCGAGGCGTCACCGAGACGTCACCGAGACGTCACCGAGACGTCACCGAGACGTCACCGAGACGTCACCGAGACGTCACCGAGACGTCACCGAGACGTCACCGAGACGTCACCGAGACGTCACCGAGACGTCACCGAGACGTCACCGAGACGTCACCGAGACGTCACCGAGACGTCACCGAGAGGTCACCGAGACGTCACCGAGGCGTCACCGAGACGTCACCGAGACGTCACCGAGACGTCACCGAGGCGTCACCAAGGCGTGAGATTCAGACCACAGAGATCGACAGTTTCTCTCTCCGTGACACAACAAAGTTAGACACACTTTTGTCTGCTTTTATTCCACTGTCGCCCCCTGCAGGACACTTCTGCTCTGGAGAGTCGCTTCAGGGACACACTTATTCACCCCCAGAGTGAGGGAGAGGCTGTCAGACTGTACAATGAACACTACTGTCCTGTATGTGTGCTGCAACACTGAACATTCCCTTATCTTGATAAGAGGTGAAACATAAATTAAATAAATGTTCATAAAATCTGTCTTTAATATGGCCTAGAAAGAGACCAGAGAGAGACCAGAGAGAGACCAGAGAGAGACCAGAGAGAGACCAGAGAGAGACCAGAGAGAGACCAGAGAGAGACCGACCAGAGAGAGACCAGAGAGAGAGACCAGAGAGAGACCAGAGAGAGACCAGAGAGAGACCAGAGAGAGACCAGAGAGAGACCAGAGAGAGACCAGAGAGAGAGACCAGAGAGAGACCAGAGAGAGACCAGAGAGAGACCAGAGAGAGACCAGAGAGAGACCAGAGAGAGAGACCAGAGAGAGAGACCAGAGAGAGACCAGAGAGAGACCAGAGAGAGACCAGAGAGAGACCAGAGAGAGACCAGAAAGAGACCAGAGAGAGACCAGAGAGAGACCAGGGAGAGACCAGAGAGAGAGACCAGAGAGAGAGACCAGAGAGAGAGACCAGAGAGAGAGACCAGAGAGAGAGACCAGAGAGAGACCAGAGAGAGACCAGAGAGAGACCAGAGAGAGACCAGAGAGAGACCAGAGAGAGACCACAGTGAGACCACAGAGAGACCACAGAGAGACCACAGAGAGACCACAGACCACAGTGAGACCACAGTGAGACCACAGTGAGACCACAGTGAGACCACAGTGAGACCACAGTGAGACCACAGTGAGACCACAGTGAGACCACAGTGAGACCACAGCCGCACCTGTGTCGATCTGCCGGTTGCGTCCTCGCAGCAGGTAGCTGAACTCTTGGCAGCGCTCACTCTCGCTGTAGCCGCGGGGGGAGTTGAAACACAGCTCTTCGACCAGAACCAGCGCCTTCTTACACAGGTCTTCATCCCAGTCGCCCGACATCCTCCAATCAGCATCGCCCTCGCGCCGCAGCCGAGCACTGAACGCCGAAGACCCGCCCCCCGCGCAGATGGAGGCCGCTCAGGGACCAAGTGCAGCCAGGGCCCTCCCACCTTTTATGGGCAGCGTGAGGAGGAAGTGGGAGGAGCCGGGGAAGAGGGCGTGGCCTGGATCACAGAGACCAGAGCGATGGAGCCATGAAGGAGTGAAGCCACGTGAGATCAGCTGCAGGAGAGAACCACAGTGATATATTTATATTATTATTATTATTCAGACAATGAAGGTTTGAACAGGACTCAATACGGTGGCTGAGTGGTTAGCACTCTCCATTCTCCAATCGCGGTCAGTACAGGGTCTTTCTGAGTGGAGTTTGCATGTTCTCCCTGTGTCTGCGTAGGTTTCCTCCGGGTGTTCCGGCTTCCCCTACCACTGATATGTTAAAACAATAATAATGCATTGTTTTTTTGGACACCCCAGATATCATCACTCCATGAGAGAGACCAGAGAGAGACCAGAGAGACCAGAGAGAGACCAGAGAGAGACCAGAGAGAGACCAGAGAGAGACCAGAGAGAGACCAGAGAGAGAGACCAGAGAGAGACCAGAGAGACCAGAGAGAGACCAGAGAGAGACCAGAGAGAGACCAGAGAGAGAGACCAGAGAGAGACCAGAGAGAGACCAGAGAGACCAGAGAGAGACCAGAGAGAGACCAGAGAGAGAGACAGAGAGATACCAGAGAGAGACCAGAGAGAGACCAGAGAGAGACCAGAGAGAGACCAGAGAGAGACCAGAGAAAGACCAGAGAGAGAGACCAGAGAGAGACCAGAGAGAGACCAGAGATAGAGACCAGAGAGAGACCAGAGAGAGAGAGAGACCAGAGAGAGACCAGAGAGAGACCAGAGAGAGAGACCAGAGAGAGACCAGAGAGAGACCAGAGAGAGACCAGAGAGAGACCAGAGAGAGAGAGAGAGAGAGAGACCAGAGAGAGACCAGACCAGAGAGAGACCAGAGAGAGACCAGAGATAGACCAGAGAGAGACCAGAGAGAGACCAGATAGAGACCAGAGGAGAGAGACCAGAGAGACCAGAGAGAGACCAGAGAGAGACCAGAGAGAGACCAGAGAGAGAGACCAGAGAGAGACCAGAGAGAGACCAGAGAGAGAGACCAGAGAGAGAGACCAGAGAGGGACCAGAGAGAGACCAGAGAGAGACCAGAGAGAGACCAGAGAGACCAGAGAGAGAGACCAGAGAGAGACCAGAGAGAGACCAGAGAGACCAGAGAGAGACCAGAGAGAGACCAGAGAGAGACCAGAGAGAGACCAGAGAGAGAGACCAGAGAGAGACCAGAGAGAGACCAGAGAGAGAGACCAGAGAGAGACCAGAGAGAAACCAGAGAGAGACCAGAGAGACCAGAGAGAGACCAGAGAGAGACCAGAGAGAGACCAGAGAGAGACCAGAGAGAGAGAGACCAGAGAGAGACCAGAGAGAGACCAGAGAGAGACCAGAGAGAGACCAGAGAGAGAGACCAGAGAGAGAGACCAGAGAGAGACCAGAGAGAGACCAGAGAGAGACCAGAGAGACCAGAGAGAGACCAGAGAGAGAGACCAGAGAGAGACCAGAGAGAGACCAGAGAGAGACCAGAGAGAGAGACCAGATAGAGACCAGAGAGAGACCAGAGAGAGAGACCAGAGAGAGACCAGGGAGAGACCAGACATAGTAGTAAGACCAGACAGAGACTAGAGAGAGACCAGAGAGAGACCAGAGAGAGACCAGAGAGACCAGAGAGAGACCAGAGAGAGAGACCAGAGAGAGACCAGAGAGAGACCAGAGAGAGACCAGAGAGAGACCAGAGAGAGACCAGAGAGAGACCAGAGAGACCAGAGAGAGACCAGAGAGAGAGACCAGAGAGAGACCAGAGAGAGACCAGAGAGAGACCAGAGAGAGACCAGAGAGAGACCAGAGAGAGAGACCAGAGAGAGACCAGAGAGAGACCAGAGAGAGACCAGAGAGAGACCAGAGAGAGACCAGAGAGAGAGACCAGAGAGAGACCAGAGACCAGGAGAGACCAGAGAGAGACCAGAGAGAGACCAGAGAGAGACCAGAGAGAGACCAGAGAGAGAGACCAGAGGGAGAGACCAGAGAGAGACCAGAGAGAGAGACCAGAGGGAGAGACCAGAGAGAGACCAGAGAGAGAGACCAGAGAGAGACCAGAGAGAGACCAGAGGGAGAGTAGGTTGTTTAAAGAAGCTATACCCGATTTTTGTTCCAAGTAGTTCATAAAAATGCTTTTTACTACATACAAGTTGTATCATAATACATCATTTAATTGAAAACTTGAGGTAATTGATTCAGATGTGTATGAAATGTAAGCCGTGAAAAGTGCTGAGTAGAGTCTGAGCGGGACGTTCTCCTCCAATCACAGAACGAGCAGTGAACAGCCTGTGTCCTCTAGTCTCTACAGCCTGTGTCCTCTAGTCTCTACAGTCTGTGTCCTCTAGTCTCTACAGCCTGTGTCCTCTAGTCTCTACAGTCTGCGTCCTCTAGTCTCTACAGCCTGTGTCCTCTAGCCTCTACAGCCTGTGTCCTCTAGTCTCTACAGCCTGTGTCCTCTAGTCTCTACAGCCTGTGTCCTCTAGTCTCTACAGCCTGTGTCCTCTAGTCTCTACAGTCTGTGTCCTCTAGTCTCTACAGCCTGTGTCCTCTAGCCTCTACAGCCTGCGTCCTCTAGTCTCTACAGCCTGCGTCCTCTAGCCTCTACAGCCTGTGTCCTCTAGTCTCTACAGCCTGTGTCCTCTAGTCTCTACAGCCTGTGTCCTCTAGTCTCTACAGCCTGTGTCCTCTAGTCTCTACAGCCTGTGTCCTCTAGCCTCTACAGCCTGTGTCCTCTAGTCTCTACAGCCTGTGTCCTCTAGTCTCTACAGCCTGTGTCCTCTAGTCTCTACAGCCTGTGTCCTCTAGTCTCTACAGCCTGTGTCCTCTAGCCTCTACAGCCTGTGTCCTCTAGTCTCTACAGCCTGTGTCCTCTAGCCTCTACAGCCTGTGTCCTCTAGTCTCTACAGTCTGTGTCCTCTAGTCTCTACAGCCTGTGTCCTCTAGTCTCTACAGCCTGTGTCCTCTAGTCTCTACAGCCTGTGTCCTCTAGTCTCTACAGCCTGCGTCCTCTAGTCTCTACAGCCTGTGTCCTCCAGTCTCTACAGCCTGTGTCCTCTAGTCTCTACAGCCTGTGTCCTCTAGTCTCTACAGCCTGTGTCCTCTAGTCTCTACAGCCTGTGTCCTCTAGTCTCTACAGCCTGTGTCCTCTAGTCTCTACAGCCTGTGTCCTCTAGTCTCTACAGCCTGTGTCCTCTAGTCTCTACAGCCTGTGTCCTCTAGTCTCTACAGCCTGTGTCCTCTAGTCTCTACAGCCTGTGTCCTCTAGTCTCTACAGCCTGTGTCCTCTAGTCTCTACAGCCTGTGTCCTCTAGTCTCTACAGCCTGTGTCCTCTAGTCTCTACAGCCTGTGTCCTCTAGTCTCTACAGCCTGCGTCCTCTAGTCTCTACAGCCTGAGTCCTCTAGTCTCTACAGCCTGTGTCCTCTAGCCTCTACAGCCTGTGTCCTCTAGTCTCTACAGCCTGTGTCCTCTAGTCTCTACAGCCTGTGTCCTCTAGTCTCTACAGCCTGTGTCCTCTAGTCTCTACAGCCTGTGTCCTCTAGTCTCTACAGCCTGTGTCCTCTAGTCTCTACAGCCTGCGTCCTCTAGTCTCTACAGCCTGAGTCCTCTAGTCTCTACAGCCTGTGTCCTCTAGCCTCTACAGCCTGTGTCCTCTAGTCTCTACAGCCTGTGTCCTCTAGTCTCTACAGCCTGTGTCCTCTAGTCTCTACAGCCTGTGTCCTCTAGCCTCTACAGCCTGTGTCCTCTAGTCTCTACAGCCTGTGTCCTCTAGTCTCTACAGCCTGTGTCCTCTAGTCTCTACAGCCTGTGTCCTCTAGTCTCTACAGCCTGTGTCCTCTAGTCTCTACAGCCTGTGTCCTCTAGTCTCTACAGCCTGTGTCCTCTAGTCTCTACAGCCTGTGTCCTCTAGTCTCTACAGCCTGTGTCCTCTAGTCTCTACAGCCTGTGTCCTCTAGTCTCTACAGCCTGTGTCCTCTAGTCTCTACAGCCTGCGTCCTCTAGTCTCTACAGCCTGTGTCCTCTAGTCTCTACAGCCTGTGTCCTCTAGTCTCTACAGCCTGTGTCCTCTAGTCTCTACAGCCTGTGTCCTCTAGTCTCTACAGCCTGTGTCCTCTAGTCTCTACAGTCTGTGTCCTCTAGTCTCTACAGCCTGTGTCCTCTAGTCTCTACAGCCTGTGTCCTCTAGTCTCTACAGCCTGTGTCCTCTAGTCTCTACAGCCTGTGTCCTCTAGCCTCTACAGCCTGTGTCCTCTAGTCTCTACAGCCTGTGTCCTCTAGTCTCTACAGCCTGTGTCCTCTAGTCTCTACAGCCTGTGTCCTCTAGTCTCTACAGCCTGTGTCCTCTAGTCTCTACAGCCTGAGTCCTCTAGTCTCTACAGCCTGTGTCCTCTAGTCTCTACAGCCTGCGTCCTCTAGTCTCTACAGCCTGTGTCCTCTAGTCTCTACAGCCTGTGTCCTCTAGTCTCTACAGCCTGAGTCCTCTAGTCTCTACAGCCTGTGTCCTCTAGCCTCTACAGCCTGTGTCCTCTAGTCTCTACAGTCTGCGTCCTCTAGTCTCTACAGCGCTGCTAAACACCAGGGCTTCAACATTCAAATATAATTCTAAAATAAAATATAAATATATATTCGAACACATATTAGACAGCCCTTATAATTCGAAATGTATTTAATGACTGCAAATAAAATAGTTAGCTCCCAAAGGTTTCACCGGGACGTGCTAGGCAGGTAACAGCTAAGCTAGCTAGTTGTTTCATGGTAACTTCCGGGTTTTTCGCAATCGCTTTTTGTCACATTAAAACAGTATTTTTGTCATGAAAACGTTGACAGCAAATTCTGAAATGTGTTAAGGATGTGTATACTGTATACATATTCACGTTTAATGGTGTCGATTGATAGAAATGTATTTGTTTATTGAGCGTGGCTAGCTCTGCTAGCTCTGCTAGCTTCTCTCGTTGTACTTACAGAGTAATGTTAGTATTTTACACACCTGAATTACAAACCAAGAGTGCGTTGGGGCTGCGGTCATTATTGGTTTGAGAGTTCTGTTATCAAGAAAAAATGATCGATAGAATTACATTTAAGTCAATGGAGTGTTCTACTGCTGTGAGGAGCTGTATAATAAATTATAATTAAATATTCTAATATATTCTAATGTTTTAATGAATAAATTCGGACGCGAAACTAGCAGTGTTCTTTTACCTATATATTGTGTTAGCAGTGTGTTGCTTTAGTGCCATTTCATCAGTGATTGTTGTACAGCTTACAAGAAGTTGTGCTAATGCTAATGTTAGCATACATGTCAGATCGCAAATTGAGCTAGAGGGCTCTGTGGGATGAGAGCGTAGGGGAAATGAGAAGCCATTGAGCGAGTTGGGGGCGGTGCTAAACATTCAAACCATCAGAAACGGGTATAGCTCCTTTAAAGTTTTTGCAGATGCAGACAGGTCTGTGAGGATCCTGGACTGTGAGGATCCTGGACTGTGAGGATCCTGGACTGTGAGGATCCTGGACTGTGAGGATCCTGGACTGTGAGGATCCTGGACTGTGAGGATCCTGGACTGTGAGGATCCTGGACTGTGAGGATCCTGGACTGTGAGGATCCTGGACTGTGAGGATCCTGGACTGTGAGGATCCTGGACTGTGGTCCCGTACGGACCATGGCTCCTCAGTGTTTGTTTTTTCCTGTGTTTGAACAGTTTGATTCTCTAATCTGCTGTTGGTGAATCCACAACATTGTACACGTACAGTCGTGCTGTGATTCATGGCTATAAACAAATATATTGAATTGAATTGAAAGAAATCCGACACATAAATCTGTCTCCTATGCTCCCTCAGAACCAAAGAACATAAACAACAACGTTTTTCTGCAAAGTGAGAAATTGGTTTAGAGCCAAAGAGACTGAATCCTGAAGTGAACCATGGAGGGTCCTACTGCATCAGAACCATGGAGGGTCCTACTGCGTCAGAACCATGGAGGGTCCTACTGCATCAGAACCATGGAGGGTCCTACTGCATCAGAACCATGGAGGGTCCTACTGCGTCAGAACCATGGAGGGTCCTACTGCATCAGAACCATGGAGGGTCCTACTGCGTCAGAACCATGGAGGGTCCTACTGCGTCAGAACCATGGAGGGTCCTACTGCATCAGAACCATGGAAGGTCCTACTGCATCAGAACCATGGAGGGTCCTACTGCGTCAGAACCATGGAGGGTCCTACTGCGTCAGAACCATGGAGGGTCCTACTGCGTCAGAACCATGGAGGGTCCTACTGCATCAGAACCATGGAGGGTCCTACTGCATCAGAACCATGGAGGGTCCTACTGCGTCAGAACCATGGAAGGTCCTACTGCGTCAGAACCATGGAGGGTCCTACTGCGTCAGAACCATGGAGGGTCCTACTGCGTCAGAACCATGGAGGGTCCTACTGCATCAGAACCATGGAGGGTCCTACTGCATCAGAACCATGGAGGGTCCTACTGCGTCAGAACCATGGAGGGTCCTACTGCGTCAGAACCATGGAGGGTCCTACTGCGTCAGAACCATGGAGGGTCCTACTGCGTCAGAACCATGGAGGGTCCTACTGCGTCAGAACCATGGAGGGTCCTACTGCGTCAGAACCATGGAGGGTCCTACTGCGTCAGAACCATGGAGGGTCCTACTGCGTCAGAACCATGGAAGGTCCTACTGCGTCAGAACCATGGAGGGTCCTACTGCGTCAGAACCATGGAGGGTCCTACTGCGTCAGAACCATGGAGGGTCCTACTGCGTCAGAACCATGGAGGGTCCTACTGCGTCAGAACCATGGAGGGTCCTACTGCGTCAGAACCATGGAGGGTCCTACTGCGTCAGAACCATGGAGGGTCCTACTGCGTCAGAACCATGGAGGGTCCTACTGCATCAGAACCATGGAGGGTCCTACTGCGTCAGAACCATGGAAGGTCCTACTGCGTCAGAACCATGGAGGGTCCTACTGCGTCAGAACCATGGAGGGTCCTACTGCGTCAGAACCATGGAGGGTCCTACTGCATCAGAACCATGGAGGGTCCTATTGCATCAGAACCATGGAGGGTCCTACTGCATCAGAACCATGGAGGGTCCTACTGCATCAGAACCATGGAGGGTCCTACTGCATCAGAACCATGGAGGGTCCTACTGCGTCAGAACCATGGAGGGTCCTACTGCGTCAGAACCATGGAGGGTCCTACTGCGTCAGAACCATGGAAGGTCCTACTGCGTCAGAACCATGGAAGGTCCTACTGCGTCAGAACCATGGAGGGTCCTACTGCGTCAGAACCATGGAGGGTCCTACTGCGTCAGAACCATGGAGGGTCCTACTGCATCAGAACCATGGAGGGTCCTACTGCATCAGAACCATGGAGGGTCCTACTGCATCAGAACCATGGAGGGTCCTACTGCGTCAGAACCATGGAGGGTCCTACTGCATCAGAACCATGGAGGGTCCTACTGCGTCAGAACCATGGAGGGTCCTACTGCGTCAGAACCATGGAGGGTCCTACTGCGTCAGAACCATGGAGGGTCCTACTGCGTCAGAACCATGGAGGGTCCTACTGCGTCAGAACCATGGAGGGTCCTACTGCGTCAGAACCATGGAGGGTCCTACTGCGTCAGAACCATGGAGGGTCCTACTGCGTCAGAACCATGGAGGGTCCTACTGCGTCAGAACCATGGAAGGTCCTACTGCGTCAGAACCATGGAGGGTCCTACTGCGTCAGAACCATGGAGGGTCCTACTGCGTCAGAACCATGGAGGGTCCTACTGCGTCAGAACCATGGAGGGTCCTACTGCGTCAGAACCATGGAGGGTCCTACTGCGTCAGAACCATGGAGGGTCCTACTGCGTCAGAACCATGGAGGGTCCTACTGCGTCAGAACCATGGAGGGTCCTACTGCATCAGAACCATGGAGGGTCCTACTGCGTCAGAACCATGGAAGGTCCTACTGCGTCAGAACCATGGAGGGTCCTACTGCGTCAGAACCATGGAGGGTCCTACTGCGTCAGAACCATGGAGGGTCCTACTGCATCAGAACCATGGAGGGTCCTATTGCATCAGAACCATGGAGGGTCCTACTGCATCAGAACCATGGAGGGTCCTACTGCATCAGAACCATGGAGGGTCCTACTGCATCAGAACCATGGAGGGTCCTACTGCGTCAGAACCATGGAGGGTCCTACTGCGTCAGAACCATGGAGGGTCCTACTGCGTCAGAACCATGGAAGGTCCTACTGCGTCAGAACCATGGAAGGTCCTACTGCGTCAGAACCATGGAGGGTCCTACTGCGTCAGAACCATGGAGGGTCCTACTGCGTCAGAACCATGGAGGGTCCTACTGCATCAGAACCATGGAGGGTCCTACTGCATCAGAACCATGGAGGGTCCTACTGCATCAGAACCATGGAGGGTCCTACTGCGTCAGAACCATGGAGGGTCCTACTGCATCAGAACCATGGAGGGTCCTACTGCGTCAGAACCATGGAGGGTCCTACTGCGTCAGAACCATGGAGGGTCCTACTGCGTCAAAACCATGGGAGGGTCCTACTGCATCAGAACCATGGAGGGTCCTACTGCATCAGAACCATGGAGGGTCCTACTGCGTCAGAACCATGGAGGGTCCTACTGCGTCAGAACCATGGAGGGTCCTACTGCGTCAGAACCATGGAGGGTCCTACTGCATCAGAACCATGGAGGGTCCTACTGCATCAGAACCATGGAAGGTCCTACTGCGTCAGAACCATGGAAGGTCCTACTGCGTCAGAACCATGGAGGGTCCTACTGCGTCAGAACCATGGAGGGTCCTACTGCGTCAGAACCATGGAGGGTCCTACTGCGTCAGAACCATGGAGGGTCCTACTGCGTCAGAACCATGGAGGGTCCTACTGCGTCAGAACCATGGAAGGTCCTACTGCGTCAGAACCATGGATGGTCCTACTGCGTCAGAACCATGGAGGGTCCTACTGCGTCAGAACCATGGAGGGTCCTACTGCGTCAGAACCATGGAGGGTCCTACTGCGTCAGAACCATGGAGGGTCCTACTGCGTCAGAACCATGGAGGGTCCTACTGCGTCAGAACCATGGAGGGTCCTACTGCGTCAGAACCATGGAGGGTCCTACTGCGTCAGAACCATGGAGGGTCCTACTGCGTCAGAACCATGGAGGGTCCTACTGCGTCAGAACCATGGAGGGTCCTACTGCGTCAGAACCATGGAGGGTCCTACTGCGTCAAAACCATGGAGGGTCCTACTGCGTCAGAACCATGGAGGGTCCTACTGCGTCAGAACCATGGAGGGTCCTACTGCGTCAGAACCATGGAGGGTCCTACTGCGTCAGAACCATGGAGGGTCCTACTGCGTCAGAACCATGGAGGGTCCTACTGCGTCAGAACCATGGAGGGTCCTACTGCGTCAGAACCATGGAGGGTCCTACTGCGTCAGAACCATGGAGGGTCCCTACTGCGTCAGAACCATGGAGGGTCCTACTGCGTCAGAACCATGGAGGGTCCTACTGCGTCAGAACCATGGAGGGTTCTACTGCGTCAGAACCATGGAGGGTCCTACTGCGTCAGAACCATGGAGGGTCCTACTGCGTCAGAACCATGGAGGGTCCTACTGCGTCAGAACCATGGAGGGTCCTACTGCGTCAGAACCATGGAGGGTCTTACTGCGTCAGAACCATGGAGGGTCCTACTGCGTCAGAACCATGGAGGGTCCTACTGCGTCAGAACCATGGAGGGTTCTACTGCGTCAGAACCATGGAGGGTCCTACTGCGTCAGAACCATGGAGGGTTCTACTGCGTCAGAACCATGGTCCATGGACATATTATACTAACTGGACAGAGTGTTACAGCTCGGAGCTGAAGGACCATGTGCTCCGGGGACTCTCATGGTACTGCAGACGGAACCAGACATGTTCCCTTAGAACTACACTTAAACTAAAACAGACCTCAGCTGACAGAACCTACAGAGAACCTGACAGAGAACCTGACAGAGAACCTGACAGAGAACCTGACAGAGAACCTGACAGAGAACCTACAGAGAACCTGACAGAGATCCTGACAGAGAACCTGACAGAGAACCTACAGAGAACCTACAGAGAACCTGACAGAGAACCTGACAGAGAACCTACAGAGAACCTGACAGAGAACCTGACAGAGAACCTACAAAGAACCTGACAAAGAACCTGACAGAGAACCTACAGAGAACCTGACAGAGAACCTGACAGAGAACCTGACAGAGAACCTGACTGAGAACCTGACAGAGAACCTGACTGAGAACCTGACAGAGAACCTGACAGAGAACCTACAGCTTTCATAAAGATCAGATTTTGTGGGGATGTTAGTGTCTCTTGTCGTCCTGAACTTTTTTTCTTCTTAAATCCTTCTGTTTTCTTTAAATCCACACTTTACTGCCACAAACTCTGCTCCTTTCCTTCCCGCTCTGACTCCGCCCTGCTGCTGCTCTGATCAGCTCTGATTGGTCAGAGGCCGAGCCCCTCTGTGCACGTGCATGACAGCCACACACATGTATTTGGCGCAAAGCATCATGGGAGCTCGTCCACTGCACAGAACCGGGAGAAATATGGGCGAGTATCCGCTAATCTTTCGGCGCCCATGGGGGGCGCTACTGAGCACAAGACATTCATTTGAATACGGCGCCATCTTGCATCGCCGGGGCTCGGTCTGAGCCCAAAACATTTTGGCAGCGTCTGTTCCAAGTCACAGGATCTGGCGCCCCACAGGTCTGTGCCAAGTCACAGGATCTGGCGCCCCACAGGTCTGTGCCAAGTCACAGGATCTGGCGCCCCACAGGTCTGTTCCAAGTCACAGGATCTGGCGCCCCACAGGTCTGTTCCAAGTCACAGGATCTGGCGCCCCACAGGTCTGTGCCAAGTCACAGGATCTGGCGCCCCACAGGTCTCCCAACCGGGTCATTTACAGGAGTGGAAACAATAACACGATAAATTACACTTCAGAACACTGAGGATTCTTCTACTCTCTCCTCTACTCTCTTCTCTACTCTCTCCTCTACTCTACTCTCTCCTACTCTACTCTACTCTACCCTACTCTACTCTAGTAAGTAAGTAAGTAAGTAAGTTTTTATTTATATACCGCCTTTTCACTGCAGATCTGAGTCTCAAAGCGGTTTACAATTGTTAATTTTGGGCATTTGTCTCTCACTCCACACAGAGATGGGAGCGGGGCCAGTACAGGAGGCGCATGCTAGAACTATTGTACATATTTTTAGTGGTAGGGGAAACCGGAGTACCCGGAGGAAACCTACGCAGACACGGGGAGAACATGCAAACTCCACTCAGAAAGGCCCTGGTCCGACCGGGATTCGAACCCAGGACCTTCTTGCTGAGAGGCGAGAGTGCTATCCACTCAGCCACCGTGCCGCCCTCTACTCTCTCCTCTACTCTCTACTCTACTCTCCCCTACTCTACTCTACTCTCTCCTCCTCTACTCTACTCTACTCTACTCTCTCCTACTCTACTCTACTCTCTCCTCTACTCTCTACTCTACTCTCCCCTACTCTACTCTACTCTACTCTACTCTCTCCTACTCTACTCTACTCTCTCTCCTACTCTACTCTACTCTACTCTACTCTACTCTACTCTACTCTACTCTCTCCTCCTCTACTCTACTCTACTCTACTCTACTCTCTCCTACTCTACTCTACTCTCTCCTACTCTACTCTACTCTCTCCTACTCTACTTTTCTCTCTCCTACTCTACTCTCTCCTCATTAGGCCTTCAGCTGTGGTCTGGTCATTGCTATTCACCCACTGTTCCATTCTCGGTTTCATGGCGTTACAATGGGACCCTTGGCCTCTTACATGTGGTCTCTCCTGTGCCGTCCCCAGACCCTCTCTCAGTCCAGCCTCGGTCCTGGATCTCTTGCTGCTGCTGAAGTGCCATTAACACAGCCACACTATTGTCCTTTTGTTTCCCGTTCACAAACAGCTCGATACTCTGGAGAGAGCTCTGCGCATTCCCCTTTTCAGTGAGAACCTCCTCAGACTCGGACCAAAACCTCCTCAGACTCAGACCAAAACCTCCTCAGACTCAGACCAAAACCTCCTCAGACTCAGACCAAAACCTCCTCAGACTCGGACCAAAACCTCCTCAGACTCGGACCAAAACCTCCTCAGACTCAGACCAAAACCTCCTCAGACTCAGACCAAAACCTCCTCAGACTCAGACCAAAACCTCCTCAGACTCGGACCAAAACCTCCTCAGACTCGGACCAAAACCTCCTCAGACTCGGACCAAAACCTCTCAGACTCCTCCTCAGACTCAGACCAAAACCTCCTCAGACTCAGACCAAAACCTCCTCAGACTCAGACCAAAACCTCCTCAGACTCGGACCAAAACCTCCTCAGACTCGGACCAAAACCTCCTCAGACTCGGACCAAAACCTCCTCAGACTCAGACCAAAACCTCCTCAGACTCAGACCAAAACCTCCTCAGACTCAGACCAAAACCTCCTCAGACTCGGACCAAAACCTCCTCAGACTCGGACCAAAACCTCCTCAGACTCGGACCAAAACCTCCTCAGACTCGACCAAAACCTCCTCAGACTCAACCAAAACCTCCTCAGACTCGGACCAAAACCTCCTCAGACTCGGACCAAAACCTCCTCAGACTCGGACCAAAACCTCCTCAGACTCAGACCAAAACCTCCTCAGACTCAGACCAAAACCTCCTCAGACTCAGACTCGACCAAAACCTCCTCAGACTCGGACCAAAACCTCCTCAGACTCGGACCAAAACCTCCTCAGACAACCAAAACCTCCTCAGACTCAGACCAAAACCTCCTCAGACTCAGACCAAAACCTCCTCAGACTCGGACCAAAACCTCCTCAGACTCAGACCAAAACCTCCTCAGACTCAGACCAAAACCTCCTCAGACTCAGACCAAAACCTCCTCAGACTCAGACCAAAACCTCCTCAGACTCAGACCAAAACCTCCTCAGACTCGGACCAAAACCTCCTCAGACTCGGACCAAAACCTCCTCAGACTCAGACCAAAACCTCCTCAGACTCAGACCAAAACCTCCTCAGACTCGGACCAAAACCTCCTCAGACTCAGACCAAAACCTCCTCAGACTCGGACCAAAACCTCCTCAGACTCGGACCAAAACCTCCTCAGACTCGGACCAAAACCTCCTCAGACTCAGACCAAAACCTCCTCAGACTCGGACCAAAACCTCCTCAGACTCGGACCAAAACCTCCTCAGACTCGGACCAAAACCTCCTCAGACTCAGACCAAAACCTCCTCAGACTCAGACCAAAACCTCCTCAGACTCAGACCAAAACCTCCTCAGACTCAGACCAAAACCTCCTCAGACTCAGACCAAAACCTCCTCAGACTCGGACCAAAACCTCCTCAGACTCGGACCAAAACCTCCTCAGACTCAGACCAAAACCTCCTCAGACTCAGACCAAAACCTCCTCAGACTCGGACCAAAACCTCCTCAGACTCAGACCAAAACCTCCTCAGACTCGGACCAAAACCTCCTCAGACTCGGACCAAAACCTCCTCAGACTCGGACCAAAACCTCCTCAGACTCAGACCAAAACCTCCTCAGACTCAGACCAAAACCTCCTCAGACTCGGACCAAAACCTCCTCAGACTCGGACCAAAACCTCCTCAGACTCGGACCAAAACCTCCTCAGACTCAGACCAAAACCTCCTCAGACTCAGACCAAAACCTCCTCAGACTCAGACCAAAACCTCCTCAGACTCGGACCAAAACCTCCTCAGACTCGGACCAAAACCTCCTCAGACTCGGACCAAAACCTCCTCAGACTCAGACCAAAACCTCCTCAGACTCAGACCAAAACCTCCTCAGACTCAGACCAAAACCTCCTCAGACTCAGACCAAAACCTCCTCAGACTCAGACCAAAACCTCCTCAGACTCGGACCAAAACCTCCTCAGACTCGGACCAAAACCTCCTCAGACTCAGACCAAAACCTCCTCAGACTCAGACCAAAACCTCCTCAGACTCGGACCAAAACCTCCTCAGACTCAGACCAAAACCTCCTCAGACTCGGACCAAAACCTCCTCAGACTCGGACCAAAACCTCCTCAGACTCGGACCAAAACCTCCTCAGACTCAGACCAAAACCTCCTCAGACTCGGACCAAAACCTCCTCAGACTCGGACCAAAACCTCCTCAGACTCGGACCAAAACCTCCTCAGACTCAGACCAAAACCTCCTCAGACTCAGACCAAAACCTCCTCAGACTCAGACCAAAACCTCCTCAGACTCAGACCAAAACCTCCTCAGACTCAGACCAAAACCTCCTCAGACTCAGACCAAAACCTCCTCAGACTCGGACCAAAACCTCCTCAGACTCGGACCAAAACCTCCTCAGACTCGGACCAAAACCTCCTCAGACTCAGACCAAAACCTCCTCAGACTCAGACCAAAACCTCCTCAGACTCAGACCAAAACCTCCTCAGACTCGGACCAAAACCTCCTCAGACTCGGACCAAAACCTCCTCAGACTCGGACCAAAACCTCCTCAGACTCAGACCAAAACCTCCTCAGACTCAGACCAAAACCTCCTCAGACTCAGACCAAAACCTCCTCAGACTCAGACCAAAACCTCCTCAGACTCAGACCAAAACCTCCTCAGACTCGGACCAAAACCTCCTCAGACTCGGACCAAAACCTCCTCAGACTCAGACCAAAACCTCCTCAGACTCAGACCTCAGACTCAGACCAAAACCACCTCAGACTCAGACCAAAACCTCCTCAGACTCAGACCAAAACCTCCTCAGACTCAGACTCAGACTCAGACCAAAACCTCAGACTCGGACCAAAACCTCCTCAGACTCGGACCAAAACCTCCTCAGACTCAGACCAAAACCTCCTCAGACTCAGACCAAAAAACTCAGACCAAAACCTCCTCAGACTCAGACCAAAACCTCCTCAGACTCGAAACTCGGACCCTCCTCAGACCAAAACTCCTCAGACTCAGGACCAAAACCCTCCTCAGACTCGGACCAAAACCTCCTCAGAACTCAGACTCAGACCAAAACCTCAATAACCTCCTCAGACTCAGACCCAAAACACCTCCTCAGGAACCTTACAGAGACCAAAACCTCCTCAGACTCAGACCAAAACCTCCTCAGATCTCAGACCAAATTACCTCCTCAAGACTCGGACCAAAACCTCCTCAGACTCGGACCAAAACTCCTCAGACACTCAGACCAAAACCTCCTCAGACTCAGACCAAAACCTCCTCAGACTCAGACCAAAACATCCTCAGACCGGACCAAAAAGTCCTGCAGACTCGACCAAAACCTCCTCAGACTCAGACAAAACCTCCTCAGACTCAGACCAAAAACTCCTCAGACTCAGACCAAAACCTCCCTCAGACTCGGACCAAAACCTCCTCAGACTCGGACCAAAACCTCCTCAGACTCAGACCAAAACCTCCTCAGACTCAGACCAAAACCTCCTCAGACTCAGACCAAAACCTCCCAGACTCGACAAAACCTCCTCAGACTCGGACCAAAACCCTCAGACCAGACCAACCTCCTCAGTACTCAGACCAAAAACCTCCTCAGACTCGGACCAAAACCTCCTCAGACTCGAGACCAAACCTCCTCAGACTCAGACCAAAAACCTCCTCAGACTCAGACCAAAACCCTCAGACTCAGACAAACCTCCTCAGACTCGGACCGAAAACCCTTCGTCGTGCATCGACTCGGACCAAAACCTCCTCAGACTCGGACCAAAACCTCCTCAGACCGACCAAACCTCCTCAAGACTCAGACCAAAACCATCCTCAGACCTCAGACAAAACCTCCTCAGACTCAGACCAAATACCCTCCTCAGACTCAGACCAAAACCTCCTCAGACTCAGACCAAGAGACCTCCCTCAGACTCGGACCAAAACCTCCCTCCAGACTCGGACCAAAACCTCCTCAGACTCGGACCAAAACCTCCTCAGACTCAGACCAAAACCTCCTCAGACTCAGGACCAAAACCTCCTCAGACTCTAGACCAAAAACCTCCTCAGACTCAGACCAAAACCTCCTCAGACTCAGACCAAAACCTCCTCAGACTCGGACCAAAACCTCCTCAGGACTCGGACCAAAACCATCTCTCAGACTCGGACCCAAAACCTCCCTCAGACTCAGACCAAAACCTCCTCATGACTCCGTGAACCCAGAAAACCTCCTCAGACTCAGACCAAAACCTCCTCATAGCTCTCGACCAAAACCTCCTCAGACTCGGACCAAAACCTCCTCAGACTCGGACCAAAACCTCCTCAGACTCGGACCAAAACCTCCTCAGACTCAGACCAAAACCTCCTCAGACTCAGACCAAAAACCTCCTCAGACTCGGACCAAAACCTCCTCAGACTCAGGTGACCTTAAACCATCCTCAGTACTCAGACAAAAACCTCCTCAGACTCAGACCAACAACTCCTCAGCCTATTGAGACAAACCTCCTCAGACAAACCTCAGAGACAAAACCTCTCAGATCTCAGACCAAAACCTCCTCAGACTCAGACCCAAAACCTCCTCAGGACTCAGACCAAAAATCCTCAGACTCAGACCAAAAAACTCCCTCAGACTCAGACCAAAACCTCCTCAGACTCATGACCAAAAACCTCTCAGACTCGGACCAAAACCTCCTCAGACTCGGACCAAAACCTCCTCAGACTCAGGGACCAAATAACTCCTCCGACTCAGGACCAAAAACCTCCTACAGACTCGGACCTCCTCAGACTCAGACCAAAACCTCCTCAGACTCGGACCAAAACTCCTCAGACTCGGACAAAACCTCTAAACAGACTCAAAACCTCCTCAGACTCAGACCAAAACCTCCTCAGACTCAGACCAAAAAACCTCCTCACTCGGACCAAAACCTCCTCAGACTCAGACCAAAACCTCCTCAGACTCAGACCAAAACCTCCTCAGACTCAGACCAAAACCTCCTCAGACTCAGACCAAAACCTCCTCAGACCAAAACCTCCTCAGACTCAGACCAAAACCTCCTCAGACTCAGACCAAAACCTCCTCAGACTCAGACCAAAACCTCCTCAGACTCAGACCAAAACCTCCTCAGACTCAGACCAAAACCTCCTCAACTCAGACCAAAACCCTCCTCAGACTCAGACCGGACCAAAACCTCCTCAGACTCAGACCAAACCTCCTCAGACTCAGACCAAAACCTCCTCAGACTCAGACCAAAACCTCCTCAGACTCAGACCAAAACCTCCTCAGACTCAGACCAAAACCTCCTCAGACTCAGACCAAAACCTCCTCAGACTCAGACCAAAACCTCCTCAGACTCAGACCAAAACCTCCTCAGACTCAGACCAAAACCTCCTCAGACTCAGACCAAAACCTCCTCAGACTCAGACCAAAACCTCCTCAGACTCGGACCAAAACCTCCTCAGACTCAGACCAAAACCTCCTCAGACTCGGACCAAAACCTCCTCAGACTCAGACCAAAACCTCCTCAGACTCAGACCAAAACCTCCTCAGACTCAGACCAAAACCTCCTCAGACTCAGACCAAAACCTCCTCAGACTCAGACCAAAACCTCCTCAGACTCAGACCAAAACCTCCTCAGACTCAGACCAAAACCTCCTCAGACTCAGACCAAAACCTCCTCAGACTCGGACCAAAACCTCCTCAGACTCAGACCAGAACCTCCTCAGACTCAGACCAAAACCTCCTCAGACTCAGACCAAAACCTCCTCCAGACTCAGACCAAAACCTCCTCAGACTCGGACCAAAACCTCCTCAGACTCAGACCAAAACCTCCTCAGACTCAGACCAAAACCTCCTCAGACTCAGACCAAAACCTCCTCAGACTCAGACCAAAACCTCCTCAGACTCGGACCAAAACCTCCTCAGACTCAGTCCAGACCCAGACCCAGTGTTGCCTCAGTCCAGACCCAGACCCAGTGTTGCCCAGTCCACTTCACATGAGTCTAGTACTGAGCCACAGTGGTTGGATTTCAGAAGGCAGGGCCTTGTAAAACAATCCTCAACATAGAACCATCAACATAGAACCATCAACATAGAACCATCAACATAGAACCATCAACACAGAACCATCAACATAGAACCATCAACATAGAACCATCAACACAGAACCATCAACATAGAACCATCAACATAGAACCATCAACATAGAACCATCAACATAGAACCATCAACATAGAACCATCAACATAGAACCATCAACATAGAACCATCAACATAGAACCATCAACATAGAACCATCAACATAGAACCATCAACATAGAACCATCAACATAGAACCATCAACATAGAACCATCAACATAGAACCATCAACATAGAACCATCAACATAGAACCATCAACATAGAACCATCAACAGAACCATCAACATAGAACCATCAACACAGAACCATCAACATAGAACCATCAACATAGAACCATCAACATAGAACCATCAACATAGAACCATCAACATAGAACCATCAACATAGAACCATCAACATAGAACCATCAACATAGAACCATCAACACAGAACCATCAACATAGAACCATCAACATAGAACCATCAACATAGAACCATCAACATAGAACCATCAACATAGAACCATCAACATAGAACCATCAACATAGAACCATCAACATAGAACCATCAACATAGAACCATCAACATAGAACCATCAACATAGAACCATCAACATAGAACCATCAACATAGAACCATCAACATAGAACCATCAACATAGAACTATCAACATAGAACCATCAACATAGAACCATCAACATAGAACCATCAACATAGAACTATCAACATAGAACCATCAACATAGAACCATCAACATAGAACCATCAACATAGAACCATCAACATCTCGCCTCAAATTGCATTAAAAGTTACATCCGTGTCTTAATTCGATCGTATTTACTCTTTTAAAAAGATTAGCGGACTTTACGTCCGCCATCTTGGATTCCTCTCGCTGCTGCATGAGAGAAGCTTGAGAAGGCAGTGCAAACCCCACGTAACACCGGCAATCCTGATTGGTCGATTAAAAAATAATCTGGGGAAGGCGTTCGCTATGGGCTCGATACCAGACCCATGTGGTTCAGCCAAACGCCTCTGGTGGAGCATGGCGGAACTACAAGGGTCTGGCAGAGCCAGGCTAGCACCTTTTCACTTCCGCATAGAAACGCTAGGGGGCGCCAAAACGGTTTACGCATTTTTATCAATGATTGCATCACATGTAGTCTATGTTTTCAACTTCTGCAGCTTTTTGTTCATAAAAGTAAAATATTTATTTCATTCCAGTTATTTTGATTAACATTTATGGATATTACAATGTACATTGTGGTAAATAAATCTAAGGCAAAGTGAGACTGGCATAATGTAAAAACGAATATTAGCCTTGTTAGCATGTTTTATGATATCAAGTAGAGTTAGCTAACTTGCCCAACACTAATTAGCTTGAATCTCACAAATAAGGCTAAAAGGTTAAAAGAGTTGCGCACTATTATGTACAAACTGATGTAAATATGTTTATACCTTGTTCAGATGACAGTGAAACCTCCTACAGAGTCAGCCCAGACTGCTGCTGCTGCTGTGAGAGGTCCTTCTCCTACGTCATCGCCCACATTTTGGCGCCCCCTAGTGTTTCTATGCGGAAGTGAAAAGGTGCCACTTCAAAAACGTTTTTTAACATAATTCATCTGAACATGTCAAAATGAACACCTGAAATATTATAAACACTTATCACAGCTCCTCACAGCAGCAGCAGAACCATTGATGTGAATGTCATTTCAAACGTTCTACCGGTCATTATTTTCTATAACGGACGTCTCAAAACAATAATGACCGCTGCCCTTTGGCAACGCACTCACTGCTTGTCTTTCAGATGTGTGGATAACTCCGACAGTAGTTCCGGCCACTCCGGAGCTCGCCACGCTCAATCAACACTTAAATGTTAATCAGAGAATACTTTATACTTATACATTCTACCGTTTACGTTTTCAGACAAAAACACTGATGCAATGCGAGAAAAGGCGATGGTGAAAAACCCGGAAGTAGATACGGCACATTTTAGGAACATTTGCAGAGGATGGAATTATGGATTTAGGTTAAGTTTATGTTTGGGTCACTCACCGCTGATGTTCAGGATTCTGTGTTCAGTTTTCATACAGTTCCAGAGAGTTCTAGTTTGGAAGTTGTTAGCCTAACTGTTGCTAGCCTAACTGTTGCTAGCCTAACTGTTGCTAGCATAACTGTTGCTAGCATAACTGTTGCTAGCATAACTGTTGCTAGCCTAACTGTTGCTAGCCTAACTGTTGCTAGCATAACTGTTGTTAGCCTAACTGTTACTAGCCTAACTGTTGCTAGCCTAACTGTTATTAGCCTAACTGTTACTAGCCTAACTGTTGCTAGCCTAACTGTTGCTAGCCTAACTGTTGCTAGCCTAACTGTTGCTAGCCTAACTGTTGCTAGCCTAACTGTTACTAGCCTAACCGTTGCTAGTCTAACTGTTACTAGCCTAACTGTTGTTAGCCTAACTGTTGCTAGCCTAACTGTTACTAGCCTAACTGTTACTAGCCTAACTGTTACTAGCCTAACTGTTGCTAGCCTAACTGTTACTAGCCTAACTGTTACTAGCCTAACTGTTGCTAGCCTAACTGTTGCTAGCCTAACTGTTACTAGCCTAACTGTTGCTAGCCTAACTGTTACTAGCCTAACTGTTGCTAGCCTAACTGTTGCTAGCCTAACTGTTGCTAGCCTAACTGTTACTAGCCTAACTGTTGCTAGCCTAACTGTTGCTAGCCTAACTGTTACTAGCCTAACTGTTGCTAGCCTAACTGTTACTAGCCTAACTGTTGCTAGCCTAACTGTTACTAGCCTAACTGTTGCTAGCCTAACTGTTGCTAGCCTAACTGTTACTAGCCTAACTGTTGCTAGCCTAACTGTTACTAGCCTAACTGTTGCTAGCCTAACTGTTACTAGCCTAACTGTTACTAGCCTAACTGTTGCTAGCCTAACTGTTGCTAGCCTAACTGTTACTAGCCTAACTGTTGCTAGCCTAACTGTTACTAGCCTAACTGTTGCTAGCCTAACTGTTGTTAGCCTAACTGTTGCTAGCCTAACTGTTACTAGCCTAACTGTTGCTAGCCTAACTGTTGCTAGCCTAACTGTTGCTAGCATAACTGTTGCTAGCCTAACTGTTGTTAGCCTAACTGTTGCTAGCCTAACTGTTGCTAGCCTAACTGTTGCTAGCCTAACTGTTGCTAGCCTAACTGTTACTAGCCTAACTGTTACTAGCCTAACTGTTGCTAGCCTAACTGTTGCTAGCCTAACTGTTACTAGCCTAACTGTTGCTAGCCTAACTGTCGCTAGCCTAACTGTTGCTAGCCTAACTGTTGCTAGCCTAACTGTTGCTAGCCTAACTGTTACTAGCCTAACTGTCGCTAGCCTAACTGTTGTTAG